AATCTTATTAATTTTGCATAAAAACCTTTTGCCTTTCACTTAACTTTTCATTTATATATTTAATAGACCAAGAAGCTTCTGTGGGTTATTCTTCCTCCGTAAGTTCTCACTGAACTTTTCTTTTTTTCCCAAAAATGAATAACATCCTTAAGGAAAAGACATTTCTTGTCAAATTCTCTCTAGTTGACCACCTGGTCAGACACTATTACCAGCTACAGAATTCACTTATACTTCAGTCCAACCCTGATCTTTAACAAAAATACAATAAATTGCACCGCTCACGGCGACAGGATGTTGGAGGAGCTATGCTACATTAGCTCTGATTTCCTCTGGTTCTGGATGATGTACCCCTGGAAGGATACATGATCCTTTTTACTTTTGGACAGTTGAAATATTGTGTAGACATGACAACAATGAGTTGTTTTCACAACTAATTAACATCTCAAATGCTCGAATACCTGAACTGAGAAGCAGCAAAAGCAGATCAGATGGATTAGTGGCACTAGCAACTGAAGGTGTCATTCAGGACACGGTACTATTAAATTATGTCTCTGCTGCACAGAAATAGAGATGTTAGCATGTCATTACAGTCATAACAATGTAATACAGCAACACTCTTCTATCAGAAGCTTCTACACATTCGTTGCAAGACTGACTGCTACTGGAAGTCCATTCTGCCCACAGTACTACCATCCACAAAGACTCTGAGATACTTGATATAATTCTTTAGATTAAAATCATTTTTCTGTTTCTAAGTTAGAGAAATGCACCAATACCTATCTAAAATGCGAGTTTAACTTTTTGAATTGAATCACTGAACTTTTAACATAGATTTCAAAACTACCTGTAAAGAGGGTCGCCTTGCCTTTAAACCAAATGTGCGCACAAAGCGAAAAGGCGCAGCTCCACATTTTATGCCTCAACATCCTGTTTCGCAAACTAGAGACGATGCTGCAACGGGAGGGGGGAAAAATGCGCCGCTGCAGATTCACTCCACAGCTGCAGCGTCTTCCGGACTTATCCACAGCATTATTACTGCAACTACTTTGTTTTTAGTATTTGGTTATTGACAGTTTCCTGAAGCACAACCCCATCAGAGTTTATCTGGCAGTAAAAACAAGTCATATCCTACTCATATTTAAAGCAGCCTTGTTGCAAGGCGATGAGGAAGTGCACCAATTCCTCCTCTAACCCCCAAGTCTGGGGCATCAACCCGGATGTAGGAACGGGGCTGTCTCCAAACGAGACCCGGAGAGAGTTGCAGTCAACCCGGCCACTAACATCCTTACCTTCCCGTGCTTTGAGCAACACGGTGTTGGCGACAATGTTCTCCAGCTCCATGTCGATGCTGAGCCGGCTTCCAGCAACAGCAGCAGCTCCTGGTGATCCCCCCCCTCCCGGTAGCTTGTAGTTCCTGTATACCGTCCGCCACCTCCGCCCACCGCTCAGTCAACGAGGAAAACCAGAAACCTGTCTTTGCTTTCCCACAACCCCCGTGAAGCGCCCCTCCCCTCCTTTTCCTCCTCCCGTTTCTCCTCCTCCTCTCCGCCCTGCTGCTGATGTCAGAGAGAAGCAAAAATACAGAGCTGTCACTCTGTTCTCTATTTTTAACGCTAAACTAAAACATAGATGTCATGACAGACCTCTTACTCTGACCAATTTTTCTTCTCGATCTCAAAATTATTATCTTAAAAACCCAGTTTAAAAGTTGTCTAACGCTCCGTTCCAGTTACCTGGGAAATGGGAACTCGGGGTTTGACGTAACCTCCGACGTAACAGCGTTCTCGTGAAAAAGTCGGAATTTCAACACGGCCACTCTTTTAGGCCAGAGGTGGGTAGAATACACAAAAATGAATAATAATTAACAGTAAGAGGCAGTATTAGCTAATCACCTTATGCATTTTTAAGGATCATATTTTTTGTGATATTTGTTGGAAAAATATTGACCGAAAATATACTTCATAAGATTCGAGAAGTGCTTAAAGATTCTCTATGTTATCCTAGTCAAATATCTAGATTTTGCGTGTTAATTCTGCCATAACTCTGATGAAACAATCACTCCCGTTTTCTGGGGCTGCTCTTCTATTTACGGAGCCCGCTAGAGGACATGAGGAATTTTTTTCCTTTTGCGTTCCCTCACAAAACTTTTGCGATGGAACGCAAAAGAAAAAACAATTCCCCATGTCCCCTAGGGGGCTCCGTAGGGGACATGGGGACTTCCAGGATAACTTAATTTGTGAGATAGGGGGGGATTTAAAATGGGACATATGGCTGGATTTAACATGGAGACATTCAGGAAAACTATATATGAGAGATATGGGTGGATATAACATGGAGACAGCCAGGAGAACTTAATATGGGACAAAAAGCAGGACTGCTGTGGTGTTTATGTGATGTTTATTTAAGGGGGGCAAATCCTGTCACCGGAAATTAAACACAATTAACCATTAGGGTCATCATTTATTCCATCTATTAAATTTTGACATAAAAAAAGTCATTATAAAAACTAATATATATATATATATATATATATATATATATATATATATATATATATATATATATATATATATATATCATGAACGGGGATATATATATCATGAACAAAATCTGAATCCTATATTTTTATTTAAAAAAATTACTTTCAGAGACCAAAAATACTTTATCTCAGTGAGAGAACTGAAAAATGCACAAATGTGTATTTTTCAACAAAATATTCAACTTTCAGTTTTATAATCTTTGAAACAGCATAGAAATGCTGAGAAGTAGTATTTTCTATGGTTTGAAGCATGAACAATGTTTTTTATAAAAAATTTTTAAAAAACTTACTGTCGGAGACCAAAAATGCTCTATCTCAGTGAGAGAAGGGAAAAATGCACAAATGTGAATTTGTCAGCAAAATATTCAACTTTCAGCTTTATGATCTTTGAAACAGAATAGAAATGCTGGGAAGTAGTAGTTTTTGTGGTTCGAAGAATGAGCAAAGTCTAATGTGTGTTTTATAAAAAATAATTGTCAGCGACCAAAATTGCTTTATCTCACAGAGAAGTGAAAAATGCACAAATGTGAATTTGTCAGCACTCATTTAACCTTCAGCTATATAACAGCATAAAAGTTTGTGGTATGAAGAATGAACAAAGTCTAAAATGACTTTCAGAGACCAAAAACACTCTATCTCAGGGAGAGAAGCGAAAAATGCACAAATACGAATTTTTTAGCAAAATATTCAACTTTCAGCTTTATAATCTTTAAAGCAGCGTAGAAATATTGAGAAGAAGTATTGAGAACATGAAAAATTTCACATGGGACACAGAAGTATTTAACATGGGACTTATGGGAGAATTTATCATGAGACATTTGGGAGAATTTAACATGAGACATTTGGGAGGATTTAACATGAGACATTTGGGAGGATTTGACGTGGGAGTTATGGGAGGATTTAACATGAGACATATGGGACGATTTAATATTGGACATATGGGAGGATTTAACATGAGACATTTGGTACGATTTAATATTGGACATATGGGAGGTAGGGGCCATTCAGGGGCCCCTAGAAATGGTTTATTTGTAGCACAGACCACGGATCTAAACCTGTAGCATTCTATCACAGAGAATGAGAATATTATTACATTTCATGCATTCAGCTGAGAAAAAAGGTACAATTAGGATTTAATTAAGAAGTTTACTTTGTAAAAGTTTAAGGAATCATCTTGATAGTTTGATTGTTGCGTTACCATGGCTACAATATGTAATCTTTGGGTTTTAATTGGGTTTGTTAACAAATACATAACAGCAAACAACAAATAATCAGTTGATTTTAAACTCGCCCAATAAACCTGGTCTCCCTCTCACAGATTCATCTTATTTATATTCAACATGTTAGTGATGCTTAGGTTCTTAGTCGGAAGGGTTTTGGGGAGCGGGGATCTGTCTAAAGCCCCATATTACCTTGGGCCGGCCCTGCATGAAGAGCCGCTGCGATGCGCATCTCTGGAATTTACCTGGAATCCCCTGGTGGTCCCTGTCAGTCCACGGATGCTTCATTTAATTGTGGCATGTTTGGCTGTATGCTACGGTTCTAATTGCTCCAGTATTTTTTCTTATGTTTATTGTGTGAACTCTAAATGCTCTGGCCCAAATCTTCCTGTAACACTTGAGGTTCTGCAGTAACTTCTATTGACAGTCGCTCACCTCCAGCCCAGATCCCGTCAGCAGCGGCTTTAACCGCCTGGTAGTGAAGTTAAGGAAAAGCAGAGCGAACACTCAGCAGGTGGTACCAGGTGGTGCCAGGGGCCTCGCGGTGACAGTTGCAGTACAGATAGATATTCTGTACATAGAAATAAACAAATGACTAGATGAAGTAATCATTGTGCTAAATATTGTATACAAAAAAGACCTTTCTCAGCTTACACATTTTCACAGTATTAATTGAATGTCATTAATAATACATTTTCCCTTTAATTTTCAATCTTAACTTTATTAATTTTCCGTTTGTTTCATATTTTTCATATTCTATATTTTGTTACTGTCAAATTTCACTTAACCCTCTCCAGGCAGGGGTTGCAGATTTGCAACAACTTAAACAGTCTTTTCAAGTAATTTGAGCCTGAGAGGGTTAATTATTAAGTTGCATTTTCAAATTCTATATATATATATTTTATTTCATTTAGGGTTCTTTAATTACATTGATTTGTTTTCTCAAATATTTGCTTCTTTCACCTACTTTATAGTTATATGTACAGATTTTTTAAATTTTCTTTATGTTCTCTTATATCTCCTTTAAAATAAACATTTTCTTCCATATGAAGAATCAATGTCAGCAACCATGCAGTACAAAACATTTGTATGTTCACAACTATAAATTCCTTCTCTCTCTACATATGGAATGCAATTGGGACATTGGTATTCTACTTTGTCATTTTGAAACAAAACTGAAAAACAAAACATCTTTTTAAGTCTGTACCAGCTCTTGATATGCAGTCAATTAAAAACACAACTTCAATTATAAGATAATTTTTTTATTTTTGTTGTGAAACTACAAAACTTAGTGTTTGTGTTTTGTCTACCATGTTCGTTTTTTGTGCTGGTGAAATATTTACAATTTTTATGAACAGTTACAGTGTCTGAGAATAAAATTCACAGCTTTTCCTGGACTTTTGATAAAAAGAACAAAACTGGAGGGGAAAACAGCACACCTAAATCACAAAAGTGCAATAAATACACGCCATATGGTTGTCATAGTCGTCAGCAAACACATCATCAGCAGTCATAATATGGACTATTGGAAAACAAAATCATAATCAAATGAGAGACCGAAAAAAGTTGCAATTATACAAAAGCTACATATTTACTGTGATTCCTTGGGAAAGCCAACATTCCTTCATCCTGGTTCAGTTATAAGTTTGTTTGTTTCATAGGTTCATTTACGACACTGAACATATTCAGAAAACAAACCTTTTTGTGGTTAAAAAGTAAATTAAAAAAAAGAACTTCAGTGAGGAAGACAAGGATAAGGTCTTATTTTCCTGTGAGGAGGAACAGGACTGACTGAAGACATTTAACACTTCTGAATTTCATCATAACAGAGTGGAAATATTTAAGTTCTGATATGAACTGAAAACATTTACAGGATCTAAATATGTTTTCAATTCTTCAATGCAGTTCATCTAAAAGCTGGGGTCAGAGGAAACCATCTGGAATGACTGTAGCAGCAAGGCATGAAGTTTTAACTATAGGGCAGCAGACAGTATTTGGGTTCACTAGCAGAAGATTCTAGTAGATGTTAGGCTGCTCCTTAGCTGGAGAGAAAGTTGTGGTTGATTAAAGGAAGGATATGTAGAGCAGTTATAGGCTCAGGACCTGCAGTGAGTTTCTAGAAAACAGAGAAAATCTCTCAAGATCATGTCTATTTAGGATAGGACTTTAACTGAATTCGCTACCCATCAATCCAATCAATCAATTTACAATTCAACCATCCAATTTATCATCCATCCATCTACCAAATTTATAGGAGTTCACATATTGAAGTTTTCTGGCCGATCGCCGATTACTGATCTTTTAAAGAGCCTAATTTGCAGTTTCTGATTTTGGCCCATCCCAATTTTTTTTTGCTCAGTATTGCAAGAAAGTTGCTATCCATCCAATTTACTACCCACCCATTCATCAATTAATTTTTCACTTAACTATCCATCTAATTTACCATCCATCCAGTTTATCATCAAGCTATCCACAATTTTTCATCCATGCAATTAATCAATTTACCATCCATCCAATCAAATTGCAAAATGCACTCAGCACCAACCATTTTATTCCATTTACTTTATGCTATTGCATCATTTTACTCTTCATTTATTTATACATGAATTAATGTTTCAACTGAATTTGTAAAATGTTACCTGCTCAGGGACAATGGACAAAAATTTGGAAAATTCTACTAAATCTGGCATATTTGCATCTCTACCTGTTGCAAATGTTAATTCATGTGCATGTCCCTTTCGAATATAAAAATACAATTAAATCAGTCATTCTGACATCCATTAATCCATCCATTCAAATGACTGAAGCATGACAATCTTTCCTCACACACTTCAGTTAAGTTTTTGCCTTCTGCAGATAACTACTCTAAAGAACCCCACAACAACAAAAACATCCTTAATTTAATTTTTCTTTAATTTTTGTGTAAACAGTAAAACAGGCAACCAATGACGAGATCAAAAACCCTAACGGTGTGGGCTGTAAAACCTAAACAAGCTGAAAGAGCTGCAGTAAAGAGGCGTTTAATGGTTAATTTAAAACTCTGTTGGGCCAGAAAAATAAAAAGTTGATATGCTTATTATATTGGTGCAAAACATTTTTACTTCCAGTTATAAAACACATCAGAGTGATATGTACATAAATACTCCAGTTATAGTAGGGAAACATGGCAGGATGAAGCCGAAAGTTAAGACTGATAAAACTTGACCAAAACAAAATAGTCAGAAAGAAACAAGAAGTCTCTAAAGAGAAGCCTTTATGTCCCTATGGGCTGACTGGAAGATTTTTTTCTTTTGTGAACAAACAGACAATTCACAGTAATCAAAAATATATTTTGATCTTCACTTCCTGCATGTTTCAACAATCAATAATCATGCAGCATGAAGAAGAGGCTTCTTGAAAACATCAGATCAAGGTTCCTTTTGTGTTTTTTTTTTCTCCTAGCTTCATAAAGTGCAGACTAACCAATAAACTACCTCAGTGTTAGTGAGTTAGTCTTGTTTCTACATTTTGCTGAACTGGTTAGATAATTGAATTGACAAAATGCTTATTTTTCCAAGACTGTGTCTGTAACGTCCGAATAACCTCTAGTTTTCCTCTCTCAGTTGGGTGTAATGTTCTACAATCATCTAAAATGCTGCTTGCTTTAAGTAAAAATGACAGATTCTACTGAAGAAATGAGAGTTTTAATCCACATAATTTGGTGATACCTGTGGGCAAATGCGGTAATTGCAGGTGTTCAAGGATTCATCAAGTCTACTTTAATAACCACAACACTGGGATTTCCAAATTACATAAACCTGCTGCTTTCACTGAATATTTTTATCTGATTGTTTTAACTGCAAAAGTTTGAATGAATATTGTCACATTCCTAAAATAATGTCCTAAGTAATTTTTGCCAATAGAATCACCACCTCTCTTGTGCCCAAAGAAAAATGCAGCATTTACATGTTAGGAAAAATTGCATGTTTATAACAGTTATCATAGAAAAACAAAAACAATATTCAGGCCTTAACTGAATTTAATGTGAAAAACCTCTTCTGATACCTAAAATCGGATCCCTCTTAGCAACAACTCTAGAACAAACTATCAGGAGCTCACAAAGACCAAACAAAAGTTGTAATGCTACTTAAGAGAAACTTTAGATCTTGTGCCAGAATGTTTCTTGCTGAAATGCACCTTGGGAGTTGTAGTTTTGGGGGCAAAAGGATTAAAACTTTCACTTAGCATAAACATGACGCACCAAGCAGAAGGCTTTCAAAATCATACACAGAGATGTTTTCTTCACGTCTGCAGCAAAAACATAATAAAGACAAAAAAGAAACACTGTGCTTTTGTGTTTGCATATACAATAAAGTGTGAAAATGAAATATTTTTCAGATTTGTTTCGATTTGTCATCAGTGTAAACTGAACTCTAGTACCATTATTGATTTAATTTTGCGCTACGTATGTTCATTACTCGTGTGCGTTTAGTATAAAAGTCTGAGACTTTTTTTGTGGAATGACTTCAAACAACTAAAACCAGGTGGTTAGTAACAGAAACAAAACAGCAAATAAAGATGGAGGAGCTCCAGAGCCATCTTACATGTACAGAACTATCCATATGAGAAGCTGCACTACTCATGTTTTTCTTCACTGTTTTGAGTGGCCTTTTTTTTGTGTCCAATGTGTTTTTAACTCTTCACAACACCAGCGAGAGTTCACCCTGCAAGGGTGTGCGGGGGCCAACAGGTTCAGAGGAGAAAGATACTTTGAAATGCTTCTCTACACGTTGTCGGCCGGCAAGTCCGGGATGCTGGTCTTTGCTCGCGTCAAAAACGCAATCTTCTCTCTGGAAAATAAACAGAAAATATAATATGTTACAAAAGCAGACTGTAACATATTTTAGATTTTTGATTACATTCACAATCTGTTGATGGCAAAATAAAGTCTGACTTTTACGATCATCCAGCCACAGCTTCTCTGTAATTTAGACTTCTTGATAATAGTAAATTTAAATACATAAGAATATAAGCTAAAAAACAAAAAAAATCTAAACAAAGTACAAATCTAAATAAAGATAACAATTTTATAACAATCGAGTAAAAAAATCTGAATAAAATAAAAACCTAAATTAATAAAAAGAGTTAAAATAATAAATACATACAAGAGCAAAATAAATAAATAACTAATCAAAATAAATAAAAACAAAAGAAATAAAGAACCTTAATAAAAAATGAAATATCTAAATAAATGTATAAAAATCAGAATAAAAATGTAAAATTAACAAATAAATACAATCAAAACAAAGAAATAAATCTAAATAAATCAAGAATTTCAATGAAAAACCTAATAAAATACATGCTAAGTAATAAGTGTGTACTATAAATATTGCATTTATCATATTACTTCTCTATGTCCTAATTAAATTACTAAATTTTCCCGGCTGTTACTTCGGAATACAAGTCATAAAAGTTAAAACGTGCATCATGAAGAAGAAAAAAAAATAAGTCACTGTAACCCATGTGACCAACATGACTCAATCATCTTCCCTTTTAAGCCCATCCCTTTAAGTTCATTGTCATGTGTGTTTCCGGGTTGGCTGCTGCTCACTGTTGGTTGTCGCGTCCGTTGTTGATAAAACAACTTGAAGTTATAAATCGACTCATCACTCATTTAATCTAAAACTCAACTTTGAAGATTTCTGGTGAGTTGTTAAATACGATCTGACTTGACGTATTGTATCTGCAATAATAGCGCCGCTAACATTCCCTCCCATTGCAATATTCGCCCATTAACAGCTGGAACACCTTCCTGAATTGAACAAGTTACCATTGCATCCACCTCCTCAGACAATCCGTTACTCGACGGTGAGTAAATAACAGTCATTTACAGTAGGCCGTTACTTTTGCTATGCTCCGCCAATTAGCATTAGCTACCAACTCGACAATCAGTGGCCACATCATTTAGTCTATTTATGAATTATTTACTTAATGACAAGTCACACTGTTTCAGCCGAATTAAAGACTACCCCTTTAATACTTAAAGGTTTCCCTTTTAACTTTAGATTTGATTATTTTTCATGATTTCTTTGTTGGTGTTGTTTTCTATGCTGGTGCAGCAATGAAGTCTGGTATCCAACATGATTTGTTGTAGCTACTTTGATCAATCACATTTTTAAATTGATTGATTTTGATTCAATATTAGTTGTTTGCAATGACTGCTAATTATGTCAATTAAGAAACTTTGAACTTGAATTATGAAGTGCACTTTTTAAAAGGATTTTTTCCTTATTATAATAAAATTGTCAAAACATAGCAAGTATGTATTTGTTTTATATAAATGTAAAATTTATATATGAACTTAATGTGTGTTTGCTGGCCTTTTAGGTCAGGTTTTTTTTTCTTCCGGATCCCTTCACGGATACACTGGATGACGGAAGATGGCGAGCTACCCACCCACCATCTGGTGGTAGGAAACAGAACTACACTTTCCATATAGGAACTGAACAGACTCTAAGGAGTATCAAAAAAAAAGGGAAAATAAACTATTCTCCCTTCATTTTTGGACCTCTTGTGGACTCTATTAGGTTTTGAAGTGTCACTGACAAGTGTTTTGTTTGTTTTCTAGTTTCCTGTTTTTTGAGAACTTTATTTATTTATTTTTGTTGTTTTGGTATTATCATTATCATTATTACTATTATTATTATTATTATTATTACTATTATTATTATTGCCACTGCAATAAATAGCAGTATTAACAAACCTTTTTTGGCATCAATTGTATTAATTATTCACCCAATCATGACTCCATGTCGTACCTACTTCTGATCTACAAACTGGTTAACACTATACCTTGCAGTCAGATCTGCGCATCAAAAGAAAGCGTTACATCACACTTGCCCAGGACCAAGCAAGCTATAAAAAAACTCTGACTTATCATACAAAAAATACAGGAAATAACTGCGACCTGATCTCCTACCTAAAGGTCTGGATCTCACAGAGCTCCTTTCGACTCTGTCCTCTGATCTTGTGGACGTCCTTGGCTGCTGCCTTCATCATCTTCTCTACCCGTTTCTCTTGCAGCTGTTCCTCTCGAGTCTGAAACAGAAAAGATGTTGAAACGGCTGTTCCCTTCGTGGGATCGTTCTCCTGTCAGGTGGGTTTTCTAACTTGTTTTTCAGCCTGTTTGAGGAGCAGACAGAAGCGTTCGTCCTCTTGGACCCAGGCAGGCAGGTCCCTCTGTCCCTGCTGCATTGCCTTCTCCAGCTGCATCTTCAGCTCCCGCAGAACTCGCAGCTCCTGGGTCAGCCGGGCCTGCCGTGTCCGGGACACTTGCAGGTCCAGCTCCAGGTCCAGGGCAGTGCGGAGGAGACCATCCAGACCTTTCACCTGCACTGCAGGCTGCTGAGATGACAGACAGAAATTCTTAAAGGGGCAGTATTATGGGTTTTCCAGGCATATAGTGACATTTTACAGCTTCTGTTGTCATATAAATGCTACATATGAAATATGACATAAAAGAAATTTGACTTTTAATTTAACACCTTGAAATTGTGAGTCTGTTTCTTTGAGAAACTCCTGCTCTTGCCAGCACTCCCTCTTCAGGAGGTCATCACAACATGGCTCCTCTATCAACCCTTTAACAATGCTTTTACCAGCATTGCACTGAGAAGTAGCTCATATAAAGAGCTCAGCTGATCAGCAGTTTCATCACGTGTTAGCTAATTGCTGCTGCTTAGTCTGAAGGAGCTGAGTGGTGGAGTCGTGGGGGAAGGGTGCTCTGAAGTGGAATTTTGGAAACTGCAGCGCCAAGGACTTGAAGCCAGAAATTAAAATTTTCAATGGCAAGTAAATTAAAAAAAAAAAAAATGACAAGCCCCCAAAGATATAGAGGAGACAACGTCAGTAATAAATAGAATAATTTATTTCTTCCTTAACCCCTTAACTGGCGGTACCAAAATCAGCAAAAAAACAAAAACGGCTGAAAAGGTATACCTAAATTAAATCAGCTGCTGTTCTTGAACAATTCGAAGAACATGCAAAATCTTGGTCTCTTTATGAAGATGACAAGCAAACTGTTCTCTTTTTTCAGTTAAAAATACTTTTTTTCAGTCAAAAATACTTTATTTTGTGTTACACTTGTAACACAAAATAAATTGTAAAATTTTGTTTCAACCAAATTTTCATTTTTATTTCTTGTAAATGCACATTGTGTGTTGAATGTGTGGACTGGAAAAAAACAATAAATCTATAGAATAGAGTATTTTGCTCATGGATTTTAAGACCGATCAAATAGCACAAAAAGAAACGTCATTTTGGACATGTTTATATTTGAGGATGTACAGGTGTTGTCCAAGTGTGCCATTTGGAGTCTCCATTTGGAGCCTCCAAGTGTGCCATTTGGAGTCTCCATTTGGAGCCTCCAAACACTTGATATACAAACTTATAATGACAGTAACTCCTCAGAGCTTCACAGTCATCAATAAAGGCTCTAATGAAAGATGATGACCAGAGGAATCCTCAGATAGAATCATTATTATTGACAGTGGAAATTACTTATAATTCTATAAATAAAATAGCATATTGCAAGTTTAGGATTTGAGAATACGAGAACCTTTTAGCAGGTTGCCGCCACCGTCAGAGCGGGGGAGGGACTGACGGAGAGGTGGTTAGTGTACAGTAAGACACCCCCTCCCCTTTGCGATATGCTACCACCCCCTCCCAAAACCTGGATTCATCCCATGGATGGAATGCTGTCAGTTAAGGGGTAAAACATAAGGTGCATTTTAAAGGATTTAAACTGCAGTTAAATATTCACATATTTATGTTTCTAAGGTATTTATAAATGCTTATCTGAGATGTGTTTCAATTATTCTATATGTTTTGTCAGAGTGGTCAATGTCATCATCATCCAGAAAAACTCCAAACACAGCCCAAAAATTCCTGGACTGGCACTACAATATGCTTAGTAAACCACAGTTTAAACAGAGATAACTGCATGAATGAAAAAGATTCCCTACCCTTTTCATGCGCACACTGCGTCTTTCTGAGGCATTTCTAACAAATGAAGACTTCTTGGACAGTGTGGAGCTGTCGCTGTCGCTGCGATTAATCTGCAGAATGAAACCATTAGCTTAAAAACACAATTGTAGCAAAGCTTTTTTCTTTCAGCTGATGGTGAAGGCTGTCAGTTACCCTGCAAATATATTGGCTCTGAGGTCCAGGGGAGAAAGTCTTCGATCGGATGATGGTGTTGCCCCTCATAAAGAGGTTCTGCTGGTGGAAGTCAGGACAGTGCTCCTTGGGTCGAACCACCGACCACTGAGGACATGCTGACAAATTGTCAATGCTTGTCTCTTTGTTGACCTAGAAGATCAGATAAGACCAGGACTCATCTACCAACTTGTCTTCTTGCTCAAAAGGTAGAAATAAAAGCAGCTACCTTCTCAGTGATGGGTGCCGTCAGAGTGGATTTGGCCATCTTCTGCTCTCCTTCATTCTCCTCTTTTTCTCCAACCCATTGAATGTTGTCAGGGTAAAACTCTTCCTCTTCATCCTGAGTTTCCACACTCTCCTCATCATTTTCTTCTTCCTCTTCATCAGACATGTCTATCTCAAGAGGATCGCCTTGCCTGATGATCAACAGACACATTTTTATTCCGTCCTTGTCCATCTAGGATTGCTTGGCAAAAATTAGACCAGAAAAGTATTTTTGCATTGTCACATCTACAGAAATGGAAATTTGAAAACTGACATGAAAGTTGGGAGTTGTTTATGTTTGAAAACTTTAAAAGAATCAGCGATTTTCAGATTAAAGACATTTAATCTGGGATTAAAGTTTGAATTCTGAGATTCAAGTCAAAATCCATGTCAGCATTTTAAGAAAAACATTTTAATTCTGTGATTGAAGTAAAAATTCTGAGATTAAAGACTGAGTTTGGAGATTAAAGGTTGAAAGAAAAATCTGAATTCTGGGATTAAGGTCAAAATTTTGAGAAAAACATAATCCTGAGATTCAAGTCAAAATTTTCAACAAAAAAAAAAGTTTAATTTCTGAGATTAAAGTTTTTTTTTTCTTTTCCAGTGGCCCTAATACTCTTTTGAAAGCTTAAGAGATCTGGGTTTACATATGTTGGATTACTACTAGAACAGATTTAAAATAAAAAATGGGCATCAAACACTGTTCCAGAAGGGACTAGTTTATATTTTCTAAGTAGAGCTTTCAAAATAAGATTCTTGTTTCATCATTTAAAAGCATGCTCTATAAAACAGTAAGACCAAACCAGTGACAAAAGGAGCTTATGTTTGTCTTTTCAAACAAAGAACACAAATAAAGACTTTTCACTTTTAAAGTCTAACTGTTTCATAGGTTCAATTATTAAAATAGTCTCAATTAAAGAAATAATGTTGATTTATGGTTTGTCACTAGTGTGTAGTTCTGCAGTCTGTTAATAACCTCAACAGAAATACACAATGAATCAAGTAACAGAAAACTTTTGGACAGAAGGTTACCTATAACTTTGCCATACTTTGAGTTTCTATTACATCATTCTGTGTGGTTCAACACAAACAGAGCGGCGCAAGACACATGTAACGAAAAGTTGGAAAACATACCATTTATTAGTCCCAGGAGGCTGGACTCCTTTGTATGTCTGAAACAAAAAAATCTAATAAATAACCAATACAGTGGGCAGAAAAAACAATTATAGTGAGCTATTGCTAATAAATCTGGTTGGACAAGCTGTTAATTCTAAGAATCTGCCCTAGGTGTCAGTTCCTCTGTAGTTACCCTGCCAGAGCTGCCCTGTGCTCTTGTTTCCTTGTTCTTGTTGTTAATCTCAGACAAGTGGAGGCGACTCAGCAGGTTGTACCATTTGGTGCATCGCTCCTCTGAACAGCTGACATCAGCCAAGTCAATCTTGGCACCGGCCTGAAGGAGAGGAAAAACAATCAGGAGATTTCCTGGTCAGGTTCTTCAGCTCTCATGCTGAGAAACGCATTTAAGTTTTCAAAAATTCCATAAATAAGAACTGAACAGGGACCCACCAGACACTCCTCATGGCCTGACTTGCTGGTGTTACAAATGTCAACCCTGAGGGTCTTCTGCCGCAATCCGTTGTGTGACGTCTGCATGCCGAACACTTCGTTGATGGCCAGCACGTCCTGAGGAAGCAGGCCTTGTGTTCGGAAGAGACAGCGGGTGGCCTGAACGGGCGGCAGCACCGCCACGCGGACATGGCTGCAGGAAACATGTTGGGTCACCGTTTGTTCTTTCATTTAACACAGGATTCATGATGGCAGAAATTAGTTCAGACATTTTCTGATCAGCCGGCATAAGGAGGGCACTGCAGTTGGACAGCTGTATGATAGAGATGATGAACCGTTGGTCTCTGGATTCGTAGCGGAAGCCGAGCTGGACCTGGCAGCAGCTGGATGCAGACTGGTCCTCATAGGACCTCAGGACGAGTTCTGTAGGGAGGCCCGGCCTGGAGAAGAACCAGGAAGAGGGGAAGCTTTTCTTTACAAAAAACTGGCTTTAAAGCTACAGTATATAACATATTAAAAATATATATTTTTTTACATATTTGTTGAAAAAAAAAAACACAAGCTCCTATTCTAACTAGAAACACCCAATCAGGCCCAGAACGCGGGACTTACGTCTTGGTGTTGTCAATCATCCTTCCGTGTGGCACTGCTAGTTAACATTGCCGCTGATAATATTTATCCACCTTGAGCAAACTGAGCAGGGAGTACATGAGAATGACTGACAGCGCTAAGACCCTCCTTCTGGCTCTGATTGGTTGTTTTTGTTTATGAGTGTTGCATTTCTTTAGATGGCAAAAGTAGCTCATGGAGGAGGTCAATCTGTTCACAGATTATCAGTCTCATAACAAATGGTCACGACTTGGTGACAGTTTTAACAAATATGCAAAGAAGATATTTTTAATAAAAGTTACATTATGCACTTTCAGTTCACAAAAAAATAAAGAAGAAACTATACAGAAAGGAAAATGAAACATACTTGCGTTCTGATGGTTCGTAAACTCCACTATCACCGGCTACTGACTCATCGGATACAGCTGAGGTCACGCCCATTTTCTTTGGCTCCACCCCTTGAATCTGAGCACCTACATTCAACAGTTACGACAAAGAAAAACAAAACAGTGTACAATGAGAACCAGGCAGCAAATCTCCAGGCTTCCTGAAGGTCTTTTTCATTAGCTACTTTTTAACTCACTTGTTAACAGGTTTGACTAAAGCTAGAGCTCATATCAAAAACCATTTTATTTAAGCAGCAGAAACAATTTTAAATGTAAAGAATTTTATTACCATTCATTTTGATTTACACTTTTCATAAAGAAAAAAAGTACATAAAGTTAAATGTTCATTGTTTAGGCAAGGGGTCTGCAGCCTGGAGCCACTAGCAGCTCTTTGTACCTCTAACACTTTGGCTAAAAATGAGAAAACACTAAATATAGTAATAAATCAATGTATATTATTATTATTCTAACTATTACTGCTAACAGAATTGTTATTACAACTATTACTATTACTATCATTATTACTACCACTTATGTTATTATGTGATAATTATAAGTTATTACTTATAATAACTTAAAATTAAGTTATTATAAGTAATGTGATTACTTATAATAAAGTAATTATATTTACTTATAATTATAAGAAATTATAATTACTTCTAATATAATTATAATTACTTATAATATAAGTATTATAAGTACTTATAATGTAATTATAAGTACTTATTACTTATAATTACTTGTATGTAATACTTGTATTATAAGTAATTATTACTTCTGCTGCTATTATAGCAGAAGTAGTAATTCCGATTATTACTTCTGCTGTAATTACTACCAATATTATTATCATTCCCATTATTACTATTGTTACTACTATTACTGCTATATTATTAATATTACAACTATGACTATTACTGCTATTAGTACTGCTTCTACTATTGATATTATTACAATTACTATCATTATTTTACTACTACTATTAAATTAATTATTGCTATCATTATTGTTTATTATTACTAGGATTGCAGCTCCATTTAGAGATAGTAAATATTCAAATATTCAAAAGTGAAATATTTCATAAACTTTTTTTTATTTGTGCAAGTTGAACAACAGGAGGTCAGTGAAAAAGTCCTGCATGTATAATGAGCAATGAGCTGAGCTCTGGCAGACCGAACCAGAAACCAGACACCAGGTCCACCTTTCACCTGCGGCTGATAGTCATGTTCTGCCTCTCACAGGCTGCTTCCAGCTCCATCTGACCAACTCTGATGTTTACAGATCAAACAACAAATGTGATACTCTATTTTTTTCTAATTTAACAAAATAAAACCACAATTTTGTTGTCCCCCACAGAAAGTGGGGGACAACACTCTCTAATATCTTTGTAACCTCTAACACTTTGGAGGTCAAAATTGGCCCTGAAGTCGTAGAACTGTGCAGTTCCTTCTTACCTTTCATTATTCAGATGTAATCCAGTTCTTACGGGACAGGGCATGGAAAAGTTTGGGAACCCCTAAACTAGGTAACCTTCTGCAGGAGACATTCTTTTAGGTCAAAAATTGTAATAATGTGCACTATGTTATACTATAACATTAACACATTACAATTTTGAAACATTTGCATTAATGTTGACAGGCTGACTTTCTATTGAACCATGACTGATGCTAGGAAGAGGCACGGTGTTCTGGGTAAATGGCTGACCTTTGCCCTCGTCTACAAGAATATTGTTGAGGTTCTGCTTGTCCTCCAGCTGCTTTCTCCGCTGCTCCTCAGGGTCCAGCTCCAGCTCTGCCAGCCTGCTGCGCAGCTCCAGGTCCAGTCCAATCCCGCCGGGCCCTGCCTCCCCTGACAGGAATGCGGTGTCTGAAACCAGCGGGGAGCATGGTGGCGACAGCGACGATAGAGATGAACACGGAGACAACGAGTTCATGGAGCGTGGCGTTTCGGACAGCCTAAGGGCCTGGACCCGGGAAGACTCGGCGCCGCCTGGCCCGGCATTATCGGACTGCTCAGCACCGCGCTGGCCGCAGCCCATCACCACCTCATGCTCGTGGATGGTGGTGATGGAGCTGGAGGGCCGGTAGCCGACCGGGCCGCTGTCCTGCAGGAGGCTGTCCAGCTTGCTGCGCAGGTCCGGGTCGGCCAGCTCGGGCTGCTCCAGGTAGAGTTCGGTGAAGCTGAGGGAGGAGGCAGACCCAAGGCTGGATGTGGTGACCAGCGAGCCCCGGCTGGATGCCAGCGAGCCGCGGCTACTGCCAGATGAACAGGACAGAGTGCTGGCCGACAGGCTGATGGAGAAACAATAAAAATATAAAATATTTCTGAAAATGATGATTAGTAATAAAATGTTTCAGTTCACATCCAATTGGTGATATGGTTTTTTATCACAATGTTTTTTAATATTGTATGACAAAGTATTAGTTAATAAAAAAACTACAAAACTAAAAAAATAAAATTCTAAGAATAAAAATTACGAGAAATTGTAATATGACTTTACAACTTTATTCACATAATGCTACGACTATTCTCATAATATCTTGAAATAAAAACTAAATTAAGCATATTTTTTATGTTATTTTGAAAATAAACAGGAGAAAATAATCAAAATAACATTTTAGTCATTTTTTTAACTTAAATGTTTATCGCAAGATATTTTTCATAATAAATGATGCACAATGCACTATATGTCCATGTTTGCAATTTTTTTTTTGACAATAGCACAATATTTTAAAACATTTTGCACACATTTGTGATAGAAATGCAGCTAATGACTGAAAGTTGCTTTTCCGCAAAAATAAAAAAAGAAGAAGAAAAAAAAAGAAAGCTACTTTCATATTTCTTCAGATTGCTTGGAAGGAAGAGAAATAATGTTTGGAGCACATTAAAATCCAAAATGTTTTTGACTCCTCCATCATTATGGAAGGCTCTGCTTTGGGCACCAGCATCAGGTGTGTTCATTTTTTCAGGCTGAACATTTTGGTAGAGAAGAACCAACCTCCTCAGCTGCGTCTGCAAAGATGTGGCCAGTCGAACCGTCTCCTCCAGCTCCCGCACCAACTCGCTTCTTCTGCAATGGAGTCGCAGCCTGAAACCACAGACATGTTTGAAAAAAACAAAAACAAAAATCATCAAAGTTCTGGATTAAAAGCTTCGCATCAGAAACACAAGACTGCTACAGATTTAAATCAGCGATTTATAAAACCCCACAAAATAATAATGATAATCTAATATTTTTCCCATTAATCGGGCATTGACTGAATTACACTGGAAATGAAATAAGAATTTAACTGGTCAGTTCTTAAATTATTTAAAATCAAGGCATTTTTTCTCTAAATCTCATGATTTAAATTGAAAGTTTATCTCAAGTCATCTTAAATTAAGATTTTGTTGTTTAATTTTACAAATAAATAGTTCAGCATATTTAGTGTCAAGTATGGTGTTCAACTCTAAAGAAAAAAACATCCATTTCCTTTTTAGGACATCGTAATATTTTGAATTTACTATTATTTATCAATCCTGTACAATATTGCAGACACTTATGCTATCAGTAAAAATAAAGAGAAGGAAAGAAAAATAAAAGAGAGAAGGAAATAATGAAAAGTTGAAAGAAAGAAAAAAAGACACAAGAAAGGTTAGATGGGAAGGAATAGAAAGGAAGATGTAAAAAATAAGGGAAGAGGAAAGACACAGGAAATAAGAAAGGGAAGACAGAAAAAGGAAGAAAGAAGAATGACACAAAAGAAGAGAGGCAGGACACAAGACAAAAGAAAGAATGAAAGCAAGGCAAGGAATGAAGAAAAAGTGTCACAAGAAAGGAAAGAAAATAAGAGATGAGAAGGAAAGGAGAGGAAGGAGTGAAGGAGGGTAAAATGCAAGCCCAGGATACAGATTACAGTCAGAAACAGATATTTTTTTTCTATCCTGAAATGAAATTCCAGCCGTTTTCCCTGTGTTTCCCAGATACCGAAAGACCCTGCTCAGAGAACCTGACGTTCATGGAGCCCAGTGTCTTTAGAACCCTACGGCTGCCTGTCTGAACGGGTGCGTTTGTCCGACGACTACAAGGGGTCCTTTTTGCTCGGCCGCCTCTCGAGTTTCAGGAATACAAAGAGATGCGGAGCTCAGGTAGAGTCTGACCTAGAGCGTGAACCACGGCCGTTCTGTGAGGGAGGAACAAGAGGGGTGAAGGGATCTGCTGGTGTTCGGGCTCAAAGGCAGGGAGGAAGATGGAGGAGCGACGGAGCAAGATAATCTGAGAGGAGGTCAGAGGCTTTGAAGACATTGAAGCTGTTTGGCTTCATGATTCCTCTCATTCAGAACAGTAATGTTATTAATTTTTCCAACTTTGCATAAGGCACAGAATTTCAGGTCCAGGAGTCATTTGTGGTCCTTGGAATAACTTTGGCTGGCCCTTCACTACAGTACATATTTGGCTCTCCAGAAAAGTTGGCCCACACTGCAAAAAGACAACAATTTACAAAGTTGTTTGGTTTAGTTTTTACTGCAGATAAGTTAGTACACTTGAAATTTGACAAAAATAACTGAAGTGACTTGTCAGTGTTTTTTAAGTCAACCTTTCCTTAATAAAAAATAATATACCAAATATATATACCAATTCCAGTACTAATTTCACTTCATCTCTTGCTAGAAGTAAATTATTCTACTTTCTCATCAATATTTAGGTCGGATTTACTTAAAACAAACTCCTATTTCTTGCTGAAGAGTTACTTATAAGTCAGATTAGTCTTGCTTCAAATGTACTAAGAGATTTGAACTTGAAACTAGATAAGTATATCCTGTAGGAGATGGGATTTTTATAGTACAGATGGGCGCTATTTGTAATTCATGCAGGATGAGATGTATTTTATCTTATATCGAAATATATATTTATGTCATCATCCATTTTTTTTTTTTTTGCCTTTGTAAGTTGGGAAACGGATATCTAAGATTTTCTGGTCGACCCAAAGATGTAACAACTATGAAACCTCTCTTTTTCAGAATAAAATAATCTTGTCTTCTGCTCTGTAAAAAATTGCCTTAAAGACAACTTAAATCAAGGTTGATACAAGTTTTCTTCCTCTCCCTGGACAATCACCTAGGATTATTACATTAAATGTAACAAGTGTGAGAAAACCAGAGTGATTGCTGTCTGGTTTTCATTAATGAATGAAAGGAAATGCCTTGCAAAAGCATAAAATATGAATTCTTTTTGCAGCATGTACACTTTTATTGTGGATGCTACGCAATGCTTTAAAAATGTAACCCCTGAACATCTAGAAGGGCTGATTTGAAAAAAGAAAAGAAAAAAACGCAACCCGCAGCAACTCCCAAGTGAGGTTAGAACTATTGATTGAGGGTGTGGTCACACCAGTCAGGTTTAACTTTGTTTAAGTCAGCTTTGTTTTGGAGGTGTGGATGTGTAATAGAACTTTGATGCAGATCAACAAGCTAACTCTGGTTCACCTAAAAACCTTCGTCTGGGTTTGGTTGAAGTGAACTCTGCTGTGTTTTGAATGCATATGTAAATATCAAGCAGGCCGGAGATCACTCCCAAAGCAGGAAGTGGACTAAAACACAAGGCATTCTGGGTGAATACAATCAAAACAAATTAACGAGGCTAACACTAGCAGGACGAATGGCTTGTGAGGTTTTTTTAACTTAAGAAAAGAAAAATTCTAGAAAAAAATCTAATGCTACTTCATTTTTGTTCACATTTTGTGAAGAAGAAAGTTGCGCTCGGTTTCTTCTTAAGAAGTTTTTATGTTTCTTTCAGTGGTCCTTGCTGCAGCTCCACCACAGGCGAGGAGAGGAAGAGGTTTTTCTAAAAATTTGGTTTGTTTGACAAAGTGTACTACCTGAAAATGTAACAAATGTTAAAGTTTTGGTTCCAAACAAACCGAGTCTACCGGACTATCAGATGTGTTAAGACCCGAAAACACTTTAAAATACAGCAGAAAATTCTGAAAAGTCTATATGAAAGGCTAAGGCATCTAAGTGTTAAGATTATTGATATTTCCCAGTGGTCCACTTGCCTTTCGGACAGTGCCTTGCTCTGGTTGTCTCTGGCAGTCTGCAGGTCTCTCTCCAGGCGTTTCTTCTCTGTCTCCAGCTTCTCAGCATCATTGGGCTCCAGCCGCTTCAGTGGGCTGGCGTACTGCAGCTCCTTCAGCAGCTCCTCCTTCTCGTTGATGAGGATAAGGCGGTCCTGCTCCGGGTCCAGCAGCCCCGGCCATGCCTCTCTGTCCAGTTTGGCGATCTGCACCTCGACACTAGCGATCCTTCAGAAAAACGACAGGAGAGTCGACTTGGAGAAAATCCCTGACAGGACACCATTTACTGATGTGGATATTTATGTTTTTAACAAACATTAAGAAGGATTTCATTGTGAAATTTATTACATTCATGCCAACAGTGAATAATTTCAGTCAATGTCTGGTTGACAGTGGGATCCAAAGTTGGGGTAAATCTTTTAACTGCATCTAAATGACAGATTGACGTTTCAGATCAAATCCATTACCTTCTCTTTGCCTCATCGTACTTCAGGCTCAGACAAACTTTCTCTGCCAGTATATTGCTGCTGGTCGTAAACTGGTATGAAAAACCAAAGAAAAGCACAATGAGATTGAGCACTCAAATGTTTCTTCATGCAACGTTCTGCAACTGTGTTCATACTTTTTCACATTTTGCCACATTGCAACAACAAACATTTGATGTATGTTTGTTGGGGGCGGGGGGATGAAACTTACTTGAATAAAACTCTGGAAATAGCCAGAGCTCAACATTTTAGCATATTCTTCTCAACAAAGTAGCTAAAACTCATATTTCCAACTTATTTTTAGTCTGAACAATTCTATTGAGACCCCAGACACAAGCCTTGCTCTGCATTTAGAAAACATCCACACCCAGCATGATCCTGCCACCACCAGATGTCTTCAGGGTGATGTGGTGAAAGTGGGTTTTCCTCCACACACAGCGTTTATTTGCATGTAACTTAACTTTACAAAAATGAAAGAAAAATAAACCTTTCAGCATCATAGCTGAACATAAATTAATAAACTTAGAGATAAGAGATTTTTATTTTTGAAGTGAAACCGCAGTAAATAATGACACAGAGGTAAAGCAACATGAATGTGTTTTTTTTAATAAATTCTCATTTTAAAAATGTTACAAAGCGGACTAAAAATTTTAATCAGAACTTTTAACTTTTTTTAAATGTATTTTTCCATCTTTCTCCATACTTAGAAAATTATCAAATTCAATTTCTTTTTAGCTTTAACCAAAAATTTTAATTAGCTATAATCATATTCTTGTGACTAAGATGTTGTGTAGTAGGCCCAAACAGTGAAAGGGAAATGAATTGGGGTTTATTTAGGACTAAATTTAAAAGAAAACTCACCAAATTCTGCAGTGAATTGTGAGAAATGTACCTACTTTAAAGGTTTTTGAAAAAAAGTTGCAAAGAAAATGTCAAGATAGCACGCCCCAGCAAACTTCATTTACCTTACTTTATTGCATAGTCATTAAATTCTTGTACTACTTCCTAAAACCAGCTGTAACTGAATTTGGGATTTTGAAAATTTTTTACCCCATTTTTGTAGTTTCTAGTCTCTGCATTCGACTGAACTTGTTTGAGACAATTCAATTCATCACCTTGGTGAGTTTGCAAATTAGGGATCTAAAATGATCAAAATCCTGATTTTTCTTTTGACGGAGGGGCAGAACCACAACTCAAGCTTGGACTATATGCCAAAAAAAGAAAAAATAATAAAAAATATTAAATATTATATTAAAAAGCCACAGCAGAACAAGGCTTTGACAGCCTTGTTTTAATAGTTTTTATTTCGGTTATTATCACTCCAATTTACCTTTTGCATGAAAAACAAGAGATGCTTTCATCAAGGTTAAAATCAACTAAATAAATCCTGGAAATTTGACAAAATGAGACAAGTTTAAGAGATACAAATACATAGGTAAACAGAACTACATTTAAAGCAGGAAGTGGGGATGACATTTTGTTTTGGCACTAACCTCAGCTGGGAGGTCGGTTTGGGATCCAACGTCAGAGTAGAGGTGAGGGATGGAAGTCTCGGAGTTGGCGAGTGACGGACTGCTGCCCCACAGCTCCTGTTGGGAGCCAGAATTAAGCCGGAAGTTGTCCTTCAACACAGCCAGTTTCTGAGGAAAACAGGGGAGACACATGAAGACAAGTCAGGGTGGGACATCAACAGCGGCTGCAGCCAGGAGGGAGGTAAACATGAACCACATGACGGAGTAAAAGGTGAAGAAAAAAAAACCTAACAGTCCTGGTCTTAAAGAGGCTTCCTGTACATTTTTCCAAGGTAAATTTTTAACTTTTCCAGCAACACACTTTTTAAGATGAAAACAATACATTACTTAAATAAAAAGCCTTTAAAAAAACAGTTTCAATTTAGTATTATATAAAATTTTTTACTGCAATTAATGTCTTGTGATGGTATTTTACATTCAAGGTAAGCTAAAATACAATTTTATTGATGAAATGTCTCTCAATTTCAATAACATTGCTTAAAATTAAATAATATATATATATACATATATATACACAGATAGATATATTTATCTATCTATCTATGTAGAGAGAGAGATGTGTACATATCTCTCTATATAAATATAAATATCTATCTATCTATATATATCTCTACATGTAGAGATATATATATCTCTACATGTAGAGATACCTTGAAATACTAAAAAAAAAAATCAAAAATCAAATGTACAAGCGTGGACCTAAGAGGAGAAGCGAGCAGCACAGACGCTGGTGTGGCAGTTGCTACGGCACAGGGAATGAGAGGAGTCGCCATATCTATCTATATATATCTATACATGTAGATATATATATATATATAGACAGATATATATTTATATCCATATAGATATATATCTAACTTCAATTACACTGATTTAACGTCAGACAATGAGGAAAAAATAGTCTGTTTTTTTTTTAATGAAATATGAAAATATCTGCTTTTAACTGTAAGGAATGTTTTCCAAATGTCAGCTTTTAATTGAATGTTAGATTGTAGTTTATAATAAATCTGTACAGTTTGATATCAAGCATTTTTAAGAGCTTTATAGAGAAACACAGAACTTTCCAACCTTTGAAAATGCCAGACTGAAATTCTAATATTTTCAAGGATTTCAAGCACCCAAACATAAAATACCTGTTTGTTTTAAACCTTACAGATGCAAAAGAACATTTTGAATAGCAGACATGCATCCTTTTAACCAGCTACAACAGGTGTAGACCTCACTGAGACAAGCTTCAACTCTAATTCTCTTAGTAACTACTTCCATAAAGAAGGGTGTTTATGTGAGAGTTGTTGCCAATGAGCCCAATGATCGATTGACTGGTTGTGGGTGTTAAAACTAAAAATGACTGCAGTCCTGCACATGTCCAATAATAAATAAATAAAGATACTTTCACAAACCTTGTATGGACAGCTACAAATGAGCTGCAAGAGCATAGAGACTATGGCTCATTTTTATTCAGCAAACTGAAACATTTTAATGTTTTTGGAAATCTATGTTAGTGGTGGTGAGCGGTATTTGAAAAGTAACTTCATTTATAAAATTTTATACATGCACCAAAGCCCTCCACACCAAAACAATGCAAGAAACTAATGGAGGGTTTTACTTTTCCTTAAATTTTAAATTACTCCTACATCAGTTCATCCGTTTCTTTTTTGTGTCTCTGCTCTGTCTGTTGGTCAGCTGCTTGTTCTGAGACAGGTCCGGCTTCTGCTGGCGGTTTTTCTTCCTGTTGACGGAGAGTTCTTTCTCTCTACTGTCACTACATGCATACTCAGTATGAGGAATTGCAGTGGAGTTAAGTGATTGGATGCTGGAAGTCAATAACAGAATGTAATCTACTGGGTTATTTTAGATAGAAACTTTTTAATAACAAACTGCTTAATCAAGTGTTTGATAACTAGGATCAAATGGAATGCAGACATCAATTAATGCCTTAAGCTGACCTGCTTTCAATGGGAACCATATAAATAAAGTAAAATGAATATGTTTCTGCCAAACTCTTATTAATGGCTCTGTTACATCTGTGTATCTATCAAAAGAATTGGGATTATTTTGCTGATTCTAGCCTGTAAGAATATCTCATGTTTATTAGAATAAGGATCAATAGTTATATAGTAGTCAAACAAACTACTAAGACAAACTAAAGAAGCACTAAAGACAGTTTTCTAACCTACACTGGTCTTTCTTTTTTATTTCTCTCTTTTTCTGCAGCTGCTTCTGACATTAAATCAAGCAAATTGAAATGTTTCACAATGACTGCCACAAACATGCTGCAGAAACACAGAGACAGATCTGCAGACTAAGCTGCCAGCTGCAGACGGCTGGTCTTGCATTATTGAGCGGCTCTTCTCTCCTCATTGTGTTGCTTTCAGCCTGAATGGCTGCAAGGAAGAAGCATGTCACATCTTTGAAACGGAGCAGTGCTGATCATCATCAACGGATCACAGACGGTTGGTTGATATCCGTTTCCTTGCAAACGTGTAAATTTAGCTTCATGTAAACCCATCACCTGACTCCAAGTCCCATCATGCAACTTTAATTTGATCTGCTTCCACATGCATAAAGGAGAATACAAATGCAGCTTGCAAGTCCTTCTGCTCGAAAATCCATCAAAATCTTCAAGGTGGAGCTGCAACCAGACATCATTCTGCTGTATCTGAACCATTTTGTCTTTTCGTAATAAAACCAAGTGTTTACTGTTACACTGTGCAGGTCAGAGATTCACTAAACACAGAATGGAAATTAGTTACAAAACTGATCGATTCATCTCTAGCTAACTAAAATAGTTCCATAGTTGCATAAAATATTACACAGTAAATTTTTTACTGTAAAGTGAAGTGTGTAAGTTAACATGTAATTTCTTTTAGCAACTGGACTAAAAATATTAAATTTTCCTGCACGTTTTGCGAGTTGACAGCATAACCAAGATACAAAAATATAATTTTCTTACTCTGACTTGTATGCGTAACTTTTAAGTTTGTTCTTCTGCTATCAGTCTAGGGATTAAACAGTTAATCAAATTAATAGTGATTAGTACATTTTTTGAATAATCGTCAGCTAATTTAGTAATCGATTAATTATTAACTGGCATATTGAGAATCAAAAAAGGATATCTGCTGAAAGAACAACAAGTTCAGAGCAGTAATTAAGCCAAAACAGTACAACATATCAATACATTTTGTATTTAAGATAAAAACACCATCTCTAAACTCCTCAAGTCGCAGTTTTTTGCTACACCCAGTTCAAATTCAGCAAAGAAATGTTATGTTACTGCATTTTATCCACTAAAATTGTTGTTTTCTTATTCAAAAAAAAAGAAACTGAATTTTGTTTATGTCTTTGAATGCATTTCTAATATTGTATATAAAAAAGGCTAAGATGTTAAATGAAAAATTTGTAAAATGTTTTTAAAAATCTGATTAATCATCAGTACAATCGACAATTATTCTGTCTGAGCTTTTGAATATAGTGCTGCAGCTTTTCAAACTCCACAACTCAATTTTATGTCAAAGTTAACACACAGCATAATGTGTCCAAGCAGATGTCCTGCGATTCATGTTTATTCAGTTCCCCAAGTGTGTGAAGCCGGTCTGGATTCTACCGTTTTTAGTCTGGGTCGACATCTAAAAGATACTAAAGATGAGTATTTTCAGCCTTCACTGCATATAGCAGCAGCAGAATGAATATGAACTACTGAGACTCAGAGGAACACTTAAAACTCTTCCAGACATAACTGCACCACCTTCTGAACAGGGCGAACCTCAATGCAGCACAGCACAGACAGAAAGATTAGATCAATGTTCAGCTTGCTGCAGAGAGCAGGAGGTCCCTGGAGGATGACACCTGAAATATTTAAAACTTGTTGGAATTTCAGGTCACAAAAATCCAAACACTTCAGTTTATTACCGTTGGCTCGATGCAACAAACCATTCCTGAGATTGTTCCAGTCATCAGCCAATCTGAGCTTCTCCCAGTTTCTCTTTCATAAACTTGACGGACGCTCAACAGAAGGACAAAGGCAAGGCATTAAAGCACCTACTGCCTCCCTGCAGCCTCTGCTAATAAGTTACTAAATCTGCTTTAGTGCTGTTCATAAAAACAACCAGAGGCAGCTTCACATCCCCTCATCTGGGAGTAGTTGCTCCTTCTGAGATTTTTTCAGCAATAAATCCCTCTGTCTTAAAACTGGGCGCATCTACGTCACACACACCTGCAGTGTGACAGATGCTTAAATATTTTATTTCTCAATTTTTTCTGATGAACAGTTCAGCCTGACCTGACCATGTGGAAATCTCCAGTATATCAGCATTCAGCTGAGCACCACAGCAAGGCCTGAATACATCAGAGTTAAACTGATGGAGGAGAAGGAAGAAGTACTGTTGTCATGGAGATTTGGCATCAACCTTTGTTTCAGGGTGTTAAAAAAAGTGAAAAAGCACCTCATACCCACTGTTAAGCACGATGGAGGATCTGTGATGAAGTGGAAACAGCTAATGGTTTAAATAGTTTCCCAATGCTAACACTGTCTATAGGAGTGAGCTGTAGAAAATAAATAATCTTGGACTCCAGATATTCACCAGATCTATAATGTATAATGGTTTCAAGCATTATAAAAGCACAAAACCCAAAAATAAGACATGCTGTTTTTGGGATTTGTGTAAATCAACATGTGTAATCGAGACAATTTAAACTTTAAGCCGTTTCCTTTTTTTCTTCATTCTGGACTGATACTTCAGAAAGGAGGACAAAAATAAACAGGTTTACATTTGTGTGTTCATACTTAGAGAACTTTGGTGTTTGGGAACACAATATTTGAGCTCACAAAAATAAACAATGGCTTTACGAGGGAAAATAGGACACAGGCACACCTTCCTTATCTGGCCCCAGCAGGAAAAGGTAAAGCTAACTGTATTAAACCAGCTCTAATGCAAACAAAAAGATGTCATCTTGCTGTTTCTGTATTTGTGTTCACTCAGGCTTCAAGTTGATCTTACCTGCATGAGCTCCTGCTTCTCTTTCTCTCCAGAGCTGATGGCGTCTCGAATAGAGCGGACCTCGTTGATTATGGCCTGCGCATCCTGCAGCTTGTAGCCGGAGGGGCTGTTGGATACTTTCTGATTAATCCTAGAGGACAGGAAGAATATTAATATTAAACAAAACCGCCTACATCACATATGTCAAAGTCAAGGCCCGCAGGCCGGATGCGGCCCCACAAATTAATTATCTGTGGCCCCCAGGATAATATTTAATTACCATAGAACTGGCCCGCTGGCGTTTTGCACGCACCAACACGTCATCCCCACAATGGAACGGTAGCCCGCGAAGTCACTGAAGTACGAGCGGCTTCATTGTTCGTCAGCAATCAGAGCAGAGATCAACTTTCAGGTACCCCCTCCTCAAAAATGGCTAAACGTTTAGTGGACGCTGAGAACAGAGGGTTTCAGGCAAGATGGGAAGCAGACAGTGATGTCCATTTTTTTCAGTAACGAGTAATCTAACGCGTTTCTATTTCAAATCAAGTAGTCAGACTACAATTACTTATCAAAACCACTTTGCGCGACTATTTACCTTTGTAATTTTATTTCCTCTATGCATCTTGGGGAGTGACCGCAGTTTCTATGCAACACTGTCTGCAGCGACAGAAACAATGGAGGGAGATGCGCATTTTGTTGCTGAAAAGGAACTATTTTAAGTCTCGGGCGCCAATTCCATTTATTGCGGCTTTGGGATTGTTTTTTCTTTCTTAAGTCGCTTGTAGATGTAATGAGTCGCAGGTTGCGGTTTTTGGGCTTAATAAGCAGAATTTGTTTGACATCCAGTTAGTTTTAGTCCATTATTTCTTGGATGATCCGTCCCGCTGTGTCTTTGTTAATGTTAATATATTTGCTGTGAATGACGTCAAGCTTCACGTTGCACTCCTGAAAACCGCAAACATCGAGACTAATATGAACAGCACAATAAACGTGAAAAAATCTGCGAATGAACAAGTCCGTAAAGTTGTGCAACTAAACGTCATTATAATTATTAATATTAAGATAAGTGTCACTAATCTGTGCAGCCATCTGAGTTGTGGAGCCGCAGGAGGAGATACAACCTGGAGGCTGGGGGCATGATAGGGGCTTTAAAATCCTTCTTAGAGTTTTTCATACAATAGTGGACCACACAAAAACATGCACAAATTACTAAAGTTTTTTTGTACTGTTATAACCATTAAATAATCTCTCTTCCAGTTCAACCTTGTAACTGGAGACACATTGTTGATGTTACCATAATATATTAACTTGCAATTAAGTATTGGGAAAGATAAATGTGATTTTCACAGGCAGCAGCAATTGCTGAAAGTAAATAAAACAATTACTTTTAATGTAACTTTGTTTCTTTCCAAATCAAGTAATCAAGTAACTAGTAACAAGCAACTAAGTCTAAGAAGGCACTATCAAACTTCGTAAGAATATGATCATAGAGCAGAACAATAATGCATTTTCAGTTTATAATACATGCACTTTAATTTATGTATTTATCATAGACATATTTTGTTTTTCAAAACAAATTTTTTGCTGTTTGCCTGTTGAAAAAGTTTTCCCTTGAAATTACTGATAGAGCCATAACAAAATATTGCTTTGTTCATTTAATTATTAAATAATATACACTGTGTTAGGTCTTGGTTCAATAGGCTATGCGCAATCATTTCAATTTAAATTGAATAAACTCCAAACTGCACTCAGTCAGCTCAGAAAGACCGAAAACAGTACACTTTATGACAAAAAAAAAAAGAAAAATTCCCTTCTCACCCACCACGGGTGGTTCTTATCCTCTGAGCTCGGGTCCTCTACCAGAGGCCTGGGAGCTTGAGGGTTCTGCGCAGTATCTTGGCTGTGCCAAGGACTGCACATTTCTGGACCTAGATGTCTGATGTTGTTCCTGGGATCTGTTGTAGCCACTGCTCCAGTTTGGGGGTTACTGCCCCGAGGGCCCCGATGACCACAGGCACCACTGTGGTCTTCACCTTCCAGGCCCTCTCCAGTTCTTTCCCCGAGGCCCTGGTATTTCTCCAGTTTCTCGTGCTCCTTTTTCCTGATGTTGGTATTGCTACATCTACCACAACGTCTTTCCTCTGTTGTTTATCCACTACGACAATGTCTGGTTGGTTCGCCATTACCATTTTGTCTGTCTGGATCTGGAAGTCCCACAGGATCTTAGCTCTGGCGTTCTCCACCAGCTTCGGGGATATTTCCCACTTTGATCTCGGGGTTTCCAGTCCATATTCTGCACAGATGTTTCTGTACACTATGCCTGCCATATATATATATATATTTACCTGATATATATATATATATATATGGAGCCAAACACCAACTCCTCGTAGACCGCACAGTTGCCCGAGACTGCAAAACCCGACACACCAACCTGTGCATGGCTTGGATTGATTACAAGAAAGCCTATGACTCAATGCCGCATACTTGGATCATTGAATGCCTAGAGATGTATAACATCAACAGGATTCTGAGAGCCTTCATTGCAAACTCGATGAAGCTGTGGAAAACCACCCTTGAAGCCAACTGCAAACCACTTGCACAAGTGTCCATCAAATGTGGCATATACCAAGGAGATGCTCTGTCCCCGCTACTGTTCTGCATAGGCCTGAACCCCCTCAGACAAATTATCATCAAGACTGGCTACGGATACCGACTCAAAAATGGGGCCAACATCAGTCACCTTCTCTACATGGATGACATCAAGCTGTACGCCAAGAGTGAGCGAGACATCGACTCACTGATCCACACCACCAGGATCTACAGCACTGACATTGGGATGTCATTCGGACTAGAGAAGTGTGGTTGGCTGATCACAAAGAGGGGGAAGGTGATCCACACAGAAGGAGTCTCACTCCCACAAGGAACAATAGCAGACATAGAGGACAGTTACAAGTACCTAGGTATACCACAAGCAAATGGCAACCTCCATGAGGCCACAAGGAAAGGAGCCTCAGCTAAATACCTCCAACGAATAAGGCAAGTCCTGAGAAGCCAGCTCAATGGCAAGAACAAAATCCGTGCGATAAACAGCTATGCCCTGCCAGTAATCAGATACCCTGCTGGAATAATTAGCTGGCCAAAGGAGGAAATAAAAGCCACAGATATTAAGACTAGAAAGCTACTAACCATGCATGGAGGGTTCCATCCCAAATCCAGCACCCTGAGACTGTACACGAGCCACAAGGACGGAGGCAGAGGACTAGTGAGTGTGAGAACCACTATCCAGGACGAAACAACTAAGATCCATAAATACATAAGGGACAAAGCCTCAACAGACAATGTGCTCAGTGAATGTCTCAGACAACAGGGAACGGAGGTCGAGGTGCCAGAGATACCATCAGGGGGGGACAAGCTGCTACATGGGATGTACCACCAGCAAATAACCCAAGTGGCTGATATTAGTAAATCCTACCAATGGCTGGAAAAAGCTGGACTCAAGGACAGCACAGAGGCCCTCATCCTGGCCGCCCAGGAACAGGCCCTAAACACCAGAGCAATAGAGGCCCAGATCTACCACACCAGACAACACCCAAGGTGTAGGTTGTGCAAGGAGGCCCCTGAGACAGTGCAGCACATCACAGCAGGGTGCAAGATACTGGCAGGGAAAGCATACATGGAACGACATAACCAAGTGGCAGGCATAGTGTACAGAAACATCTGTGCAGAATATGGACTGGAAACCCACTGGAAAGTGGGAAACACCTCCAAAAGTGGTGGAGAACGCCAGAGCTAAGATCCTGTGGGACTTCCAGATCCAGACAGACAAAATGGTAATGGCGAACCAACCAGACATTGTCGTAGTGGATAAACACAGAGGAAAGCCGTTGGTAGATGTAGCAATACCAAGCGATTGCAACATCAGGAAAAAGGAGCAACTGGAGAAATACCAGGGCCTCAGGGAAGAACTGGAGAGGGCCTGGAAGGTGAAGACCACAGTGGTGCCTGTGGTCATCGGGGCCCTCGGGGCAGTAACCCCCAAACTGGAGCAGTGGCTACAACAGATCCCAGGAACAATATCAGACATCTCAGTCCAGAAATGTGCAGTCCTTGGCACAGCCAAGATACTGCGCAGAACCCTCAAGCTCCCAGGCCTCTGGTAGAGGACCCGAGCTCAGAGGATAAGAACCACCCGCGGTGGGTGAGAAGGGAATTTTTTTTATATATATATATATATATATATATATATATATATATATATATATATATATATATATATATATATATATATATATGACGTCATTAGTCATAGCTTGTGACTTGTTTTGCTTCAGCTTTGTATTTGTTCTGTTTATGTTGTAGTAAACAATCATCTGAGAAAACTGCAGGAGCAGCAGCTGCTAGTTATTCAGCAGCTGCTGAATAACAGGCCCTTCCACATTCTTCCAGAGAAGGACGAGGGGAGGGAGTGAATGAGAGACACAGCAAGGGAGAAACAAAAAAAAAAGAAAAAGAATGAGGAAGTGAAGGAGGGAGGTACTGGTCTGTGACAGGGAGCAACTAATCCCCTTAAAGTCGTCCTCAAACGTGGACTGAAAGCTGCATGAGGCACATTTTCACTTACTTGGTTCATTTTTTTGTCTTTGAAAATGTTTCTACAGTTTTTAAAAACACATTCCAACTTCCCTTTTAATTGGAAGATTTGTAAAAAACGCTGAAATAGGAATTTTATTCCCTTTTTTTTCTCAGAAGTCATGTTTCTCGCTCTCTGTTGACGTTCCACTTCTTCAAATGGCTTTTGGTCATCTAATGCCATCCGACGCTGCAACGGGAGAGGAAAGCCATGTAGGAATGCCGTCCAACTGCTGCTCTTTAATCCTCCTGACACACTCACTGTGCTGCAGGAGGCAAGGCAAACAGCGCAGCATTCCTTCTCAATTCAGTGTCCAAGCAGCACAAAAAAAAAAGGCTCCACTGCTTTCAGAGCTGCTGCCGAAGACTGTAAAGCCGAGGTGTTTCCTGTCCAAACCACATTCCTGAGCTGCGGCTCTGCTCAGGTGTCTATGGAGGTATTATAATGTTTAATGGTCGGATGGAATGTGAGATAACACAGGAGCAATAACTGAGTAGATAAGCAGAAGTTCACCTGAATTGGCTCATCGACATTTTCACACCTATTTTAAGGTCTGTCAACACGTGCTGGTTCAAACTCCAACAAGAGAAAGTTTTTCCATTTTGTCTCTTCAATCCCATCCATGGGACAGAAATTCTATGTTTTAGACTGGGGATGTTTCTAATTCAGTCTTTCTTTGCAGAGAAAAAGACTCAGAAAGCACAATTCACAGTAGTGTAAGTATTCCACAGCCATTGTCAGATCTAGAAGACTAAGGGTCCCTGGGCTGGAGTCAGTTTTGGTGCCTTATCACCAGGCCTGTCACAGTAACACATTTTGCTGGACAATAAATTCTCCCAGAAACTATCATTTTGAGACTATTTTCAACTCCTATGATACTAGTAATAATGGATTGTTAATGCAAATATGCCCACTCAAAGATAAAAAAAACTTTAATTTCTAAAAAATGTTTATTACTGGAATTGTAAAACATTTCATTTTAAATGTAAAAACTAAAACAAAAATAATTAAAATGATTAAGAAGACTAAGATGGAAACTAAAACGCATAAAAAAAGCATTATCTTCGACATGGAAAACAGGCAAAAGTGGCAGATAGTGCAAACTAACTACTTCATACTGTGTGTCAAAAGTTGGCGGGATGCTGGATTTTCAATTATATTGAAGGGAAACATCTTTTTGTATTGAAAATTATCATACTCATTTCCATTTACCGAGAAAATAATTGATGTATTGCTTATTGTGACAGACTTGCCTATCCCAGAAAAAAAAGTCTCTTATTCATGCAAATTACAGAATATTAACCAGTTAGTTTCAAAATGTCTGATGGCCTTTTTCCAAGTCTGTACACTCCAGTTAATGATTAATCTATTACTGAATTGATCATGATTATTTCCATAATTGATTAATCACCAGAAATCCAATTAAATTGTGTTAGTCTCACTAAAGTTTTGAAAAATGTTACTAGTTAATAAAAACCATTGAAGCTTGTAAAACACTTGAATTATTTTCCAGTTTTACATATCTTGCTTCAAAAACATCTGCCATAAAAACACTTACTCTATGAGCGTCTCGAAGCCTTGCTCTTTGTACTGCAGCTCTTGCTTCATACAGGCCAAGTCCCGCTTCAGCTTGTTCACCTGACACAGAACAAACCCATCACAGATGGAAACACCTTCTATGTTAGTCACAGCAATCCTTGCTCACATCAATCTTTCTATCAAAGTCATTTATTCCTCATGTGGCCGTTTTAAACTGTTCCCAAACAAACAATGATCTATTTCCAGACTCTTCAGCATCTGGATTTGATGATCAATCTATGCAATCATAAGCTGTCCAAATGTAAATGTGACTTCAAGAACACAATGCAGCGACTCTTACTCGACTTTTGGCTGTGGCAATTTCCGCTTTGAGGATATCTGGGTCATATTTGCTGGATGAGGACGACCTGGAATTTACTGCAAGAGGATAATAAACTAATTAAAAAGTTTATGTTACTAAAAATAGCATGAATGAATTATTTACAATAAACATTTAACAGTAAAAAATAAATTTAAAAAAATGAAAAAGTACAAACTACTAAATACAAATAAATGAGTAATAGACATGATAAATAAGAAAATAAGTAAAAATAGGGGAAAGAGCAAAAGAAATAATTTGAAATACTTACTAATAATATAAATAAAATGTTCAAAAATTATAAGAAAACAAAATAAGTGACAAAACACAAACAAATAAGTCCCACATTCCTTGCCTAAAAGAAAAGAGAACAATAAGTTCTGATCAAGTAAATGTCAATTCTAAGGCTAACTTGTTTTCAAATGAAACATCAATTGCTGTTCTGATGCTAATTTCAACAGAGCAACTGGCCCACAAACAGACCAACTTTAGCTCCAACTGACATTTACTTCAATAATCGATTAATCACAATTAACTACGATTAGTCTTTTCAGCCCTACTGAAAACCAAACTGTCTGATTCTTCTTCCACCTCTTCTCTTCACAGAAGACACCTGAAGCTAAGCTGATGTTGGACTCTGACTCACGGCTCGTCTGTGATGTGGACTTGTCCCTCCAAGCATCATTGAGCTGCCGGTACTCCTGCTGTGCCAGCTGCAGCCGCTGCTCCTTCACCTGGAAGATCTCCTTCTGTGCGCTGAGTGCATCTCGGGCCACAGCCAGGTAGTCTCGGAGCATGGCCTCCTGCTCCCGCTGCCACTGGGCACGTGGATCTTCCAGCTGGGTCCGCTCTGAGGGCAAATCAAGTAAAACGGTTCACATCTGTTTGGTTCAGATGAAACAGGTGTTCAAGGTGCCAGAACTGCGACTCACTGTTGTTGTGGTCGACATAGTACGCTCCGACGACGGGGTCGTAAGCCTCCTCCCAACCCACAGGCAGCTCATCTCCGATGCAGTCAGCGAACGTCAGAGGCTTTGTCTGCCTGAAAACAAACAGATGCAGAACTTTAATGACATGACAGACAAACTCAGACACATTCTCTCTGTGCTTTCCATCTCTTTTATTCCCCAATCCATCCCAAACTGTTTGGGATGGATCTAAGACTGAAACAATTAATCGGAATAATCATAATGAATTGCCAATTAATTTAGAAATCAAGTAGGGTATCAGGTCTTTTAAAAGGGGCATTTTCTAAAAAATACAACACACTGTTAGAGAAGTAATTAAGCCAAAATGGTATAAAAAAATGTTATACTTTTCAGCGCTGCAATGATTGATCACATTAATAAAGATAACAAATTTAAAAAAAATAAAACTTTGTCTATAAATATTTTTCACATAAAATTCCTCAAGTGGCATAGCTTTAACTAGTTAAAATTCTTTAGGGTTGAGATCTTCACATGCTGATCTTAGAAGTATTTTTTATCTGCAGATGCATCCTTTGCTCTAAGTAATCAAGCGTACTCTAAAAAAAATGTCAAGTTTCAGCATTTTAAGTTAAAAAAAATGATTATAATCTGTCTACAAAGAGGAAATAATTTATGTTCTTTTTTGCATTTTTTTAATGTATTTCTAATATAGCATAAAATGAGGTAAGTGAAAAATCTGCAGAATGTGGGGATTTTTTTTATCCTATTAATCATCAAAAATAATCAATACTAAAAGGTAGTAAAATACTCGTTTCCATCTGTATACCAGCTGTTAAAGTAATTTACAATAAAGTGTACGTTTCTATTATTATTCTTTAAAAATCAGAAGCGTTTTGTACTGTAGTTTGGCATTTTAGCTGCACCCCTGATTCTAATATGCTTTTTAAAAGTAGTGCAAACAAATTAACAAAATAATGATTGGCGCCAGGTTTAGTTCATAACAGGATTTGTGTTTTGTTTTTTTTTTTAAGCATTCTGATTGGCTGACATAAGTTTTAGCACAACACTTTAAAACAACACTCGGGCATATTTCTGTGGGTTTATGTGAATAAAATCTTTTCTATTTTATTTTTATAAAGTCTTGACTACATGTGTACAAAGCCTGAGACACATTCCCTCCATGATTTCTGTCTCTTTTATGCCCAAAACTATCACAGATCTGGCATCAATTGGGGATGGAACTTAAACCAAGCAGCTCCTGTATAATGTCACAATTCATTCCTCCAAAAAAGCAACAAATTACCCTTTAATATTCAGGAGTTATAAAAGTCTGAGTCAAATGAAACGCGTGTCTCAGGGTAACTGTTTGTGAGGAGAGGATTCTGGGGACAGACAGATCCGACCTCTGAGGGGGGAGGTTGAAGGACAAAAAGCGAGTGAGGGGCAAAAGTTCTGACGGGACACAATAGGAGGAAACTGGCTCCTGGAATTCCACAAGTGTTACTAACCTAAGGCTTGAAGGTTTCCATAGCAACCCTTGATACTACTGCACCGCAGTGCTGAAATTCACCAGAACTGATGGAGATAAAAAGCAACACCTTTATGTTGAAACTCAAATCACCACTGTATATTCATAATAGGGCTGGATCTAACAATCCTTTTAGAAATTGATTATTTTTTCAATTACTCTGATTATTCATTGATCAACTAGATTTTTAAAAATAGGCACATTCTGTAGATTTTGTCATTAAACCACACAAGCCTTTTTATATATTAGAAATGCATTAAAAGATGTAACTAAGCAAATAATTTAAATACAATATTTTTTTATTGACTAAAATGCAATAATATGACATTCCTTTAGTGAAAACCAGGCCAGTTGACAAGTTATGAGGAAAACAAGCTATTTTTATATTAGAAGCAAAATGCATATTATTTTGTACAGCTCTGGCTTAAATACTGCTCTGAGTATGTTGGGTTTTTTCAGGAAATTGCCTTTTTTTAGTCTGATTAGACCAGTTAACGATTAATTGATTCCTAAATTCGTTGACAACCATTTAATAATCAATCACAATTATTTTGATTAATCATTGCAGCGCTAATTATCAGTACAAGTCCTTACAATATCTCAGTCTATAGTAGTATTAATAGGAGTTTTATGTGACACAGTGGCAGTAAATAGTACATTGTTGTACAATATATAAACAATTAAAGATTTAAACCTTCATCTCAATAGTTTGGAGTTAGTTTCTTCCAGATTTGCTCATCAAGATGCTGACATTTTACATGTGCAGTTGTTTAACTGACAACTTCTGTGACATTTTGTCAGCAAAAAGAAAAAAAAAATCAACTTGCAGAAAACCTGGAGGGGTTTTATTTCTTTCTATAAATAAACCTCCACCTCCCAGGTGTTCCTCGGGTCGGCTCAACGATGCAAACCACTCCAGTATGAGGCTCACCGAGGGAGGTGAGCCGCATTGCTGAGCGGTGACTCAGCCCAAATACCTCGGAGTCACAACTTTGCTTCAAACCGCATTTCACAGCAGCTCAAGGTCCAACTGTAAAACATTCACACAAACACTCATTGGACAATCCGGCATGAATAACTGGCATTGAGATGGTGAAAGTAAAGACCTGCTGCAGCCTATTTGCTGAGTCTTATCTGAGCGATGGCATTCCTGTCACCCGACGACAGCCCTGCTGTGCATGATGCCACAAAGAGGAATTTATAACCAGGTTTAATTTGTCTCTGTAATGTTCAGCGGAGTTCTCGGTGTGCACAGTGAGCTGCAGAAAGTGTTTCAATCATTAATGAAAGGTGGATTAGTATTCAGATGGTAAACGTTTGACGATCTTTTACGATAGTAAAAGAAGTGAGAAACGCTCCCTCAGTTTAGAGAGCTGCAGGTATTCAAATGAAGGTCATCAGATATCTTCAGCGTGTTCCTCCTTTTTTCAAATCCACGTCTGGGACAAAAGGCAGGCAGCCCATCTTCATTCCTGTGAGCGGACATTAATAGGGAGGCTTTTCAGCTGACTGCCACAGGAAATTCAAACCATCCCATCATTCAATTAGCTCCAACTTCTTAACTCTTCATGTCTTCATTCCTTTCAGAAATATGGAAACTTCAGCGGGCGGCTGAGGTAGAAACCAGGCCAAACAGAGAAAGGGGATTCTTAACATTTCCAAATGTGTCTTTACGAACAAGGGCGGGGGTTTTCTCTCCCTCCACAAGTGAACGAAAAACTGGTCCAGCATGTTGCATTTTTCCAGTAAGCACAGCTAAGTCTACCAGATGAAAATATTCCAACAATCTGGGCTGATGTTGCTTCTTCATTCCAAGGCAGCAAAACTGTGACTTAAAATATCACATTAAATCCATGTGAAAAACGAAGTCATAATCTTAGAGAAAACTCTGGATCACTAGTTTGGACCACAGATTATTACTGATATCATAATGTCAGAATGGGAAACCTGAAGGCAGAGCTAGGTGATCTGAATAGAAATAAAATACCAGATTTTATTTGGTATTTTAAAAATACCAAATAAACAGGAAACCGTTATTATGCCTGATCCATTTTTTCTTTGCTTTTTTCTAAAAAAATAAGTTATAAATGAAGTGGCTTTTATTTCACTCATTCTTTCTGTGAATTGTATGACAAAGTGTTTGGGCCACACTACACAAATTTTGTTCAATTACAAGAATTATTTGTAGACTATTGGTAGACTACAAATTAGTAGACTATTGGTATACTACAAATTAGTAGACTATTAGTAGACTAAAGACCCAATTTTACCACAAAAAATTGTTTAAATTATGAATAAAAAGTCATTTTAATGAGAAAAAGCTTCAGTAGAAGAGCTCTGGCATGATCAGTTCAGTTCATGTAGTTCATTCTTAGATAATTTATGTGTCCTGCAACTAATAATCATACGACCAAGTATTTATTTTAGGTATTAAGGATTATCTGTAAAAGTAATATTAAAGAATATATTTACAAAATGCTCATTTAAATTTCTATTTTTCATTCAGCATCTCACATTAAATTCATATTTTATTCTCATGAAATTACAACTCTTTCCTGGTAATATGATTTTATCCTCATATTGTCAGGATTGTCGCACCACTGTATTCTTATAATATTATGACTTTGTTCTCGTAATTTACACAAATAAACTGCTGGCCCCGATATTCCGTCACAGCGTTGCTTGCCCACTAAATTATGGAAAGGAGAGCACTGCGAAAAAAAGGAAAAAAGTACAAATGTTTCTAGAACTCAAGAAACAAATAATTCAATCAATCAAGAAAATCAATTAATCGCCCAGGCATTGTTGAGCTTGGCGACACTGTAATTTTTTTTTTATCTCCACCTCATTGGTGTTCCAGTTGCATGTTTTATTTCACATAATCTCCTCAATAACACATCTGTACATTGTTGAGCAAATCTTCTGCAAGGTGCAGATATTTAATGTTGAAAACACTTTCACAATCTAAGCTGTAATTTTCACCTAGTTGCACTTCTTGCTTTGATTGTTCCTTTTGTGCGCTGCAGATTTAACCTGCATCCTCTGTTTACACTAAATAGGAGTAAACACAGAATCTTCAGCCAAGAAAATAACCCTTATAGTTTCTGAAATGCAACAGCTCCAAACATGGTAATATTTTCTATGATCTGTTTTCATCCATTGAGGAAGTGTTTTCACAACATGCATCTGAGCTGCTATAGCAGTGCTTTGTTAAAGCACTCAGTGCAGGATTTATTTTGATAAATCTGATGCGGGTGTGTGCAACGCAGACAGCTGCAGAGTACATATGCAAACAGAATCAATCAGAAATTTATAATAAATTAATAAATGAGAGCAAAGAATAAATGAGCAAAAATAATAAATCAGCCTGCCACAGCAGAAGCTAACAATTTGCAGGGCCTCACGCCACACTTTGACCCTGTGCACCTTGGCAGGCAGTGAAAAGGATTTCATATAAGTCGAGCTCTCTGGTCGGCGTTGGCACTCGCTCCTTGGCATTGTGTGTTTCAGGAATGCATGTTTGTTTCTCTGCCGGAGATTTTTTATCCTCCGCTGTGTCTGAGCTGGATACGTGGAACTGAATGAGGAAAAACCTGAATCCAACCCGATGTTTAAAATGACAAACAAGCAACAGAAACTCTGGCATCACGCAACAGTTGCTCAGTTTACCTGCTTCTAAAACTAACATAAATAAAAACCTTAAAGCTTTAACTAGCATATTATGTGCTGTATTAGTTTAAATTCAATTCAGTCCAACATTTTTAAAGTTAAAAATTGTTGAAAGTTGACAGAAAATTCTAAAATGTCTGTAATTATTAACATCACATAAACACCAGCTACAAAAGCTTTAAAAAGCCAAACATTACCAAAAAAGCTTCAAAGAAAGCAATCAATGCCCAGCCTGGCACAGAGGGGAACTTTGTAACCTCATGAGGGAAATAAATATTGTTGTAATTCATATTGTTAAAGATTCAAAAAGTTATTTACAGAACTCCTGTAAATCTCTGTATTACAGTGGTTGTGAAGAAGTCTCTGACTGAAGAAACTCTGTTTTAAATGAGTTTCACTGTGTTTCATTTTATGAAGAATCCTCTTCTCCAGAGGTTCCAGTCATCCCCAGAACAAAACCAGAACCGGACGTCTTTTCAGGTTGTTGAGCATTTTTAGGTCTGATGCGATAATGGAAGAGGAAATTGTGTTCTCCAAAACAGATCTTGCTACAAACAATCACTGAAGGACTAAGGGTCCATTCACAGCAAGCTGTACTAGTTAAAAATTGTCATCAATCAAACCGATTCTAACAGACCATCAGATGTGAAAACAGCCCAATAAGCTTCCTCAAAAAGTACAGTGAGCTTCATCTCTTCTTGTAGCTTCAGTATTGCATGTCCAGTCTAGTCTGTGATGCAGGCAAACGGAAACGCTTCATTTTCCTGAATGGTACTATTTTCCAGTTTTCTACGACATACACTTTGATTCCGACTTTCATCTGCCATGGACTACAACACAAACCAGTGGAGTATATGCTGGAACTTCATTGATTGAGGTTTGGAACCAACAGAAAAAAGTAAAAAGAACATATAAAAGTTCCATTAGAAGCATGTGTCCCCAACTGATCATTCCTGCACCAATCATCTCAGGCATCTGTGTTCTAAAACTTATAACATGACTTAAAGAATGTTGTTGGTTTCTGGTGTATTTTTGAACAGCAGCTGCAGAGCCACTCTTTATAATGTTGTTTTTGCGCCCATTTAAAAATTAAAAGTTTCTATCTGCTGTAAACCTTTGGTTCTCTGAAACAAAGGTTTCAGAGATCTATCTATCTATATATCTATCTAGACAGATAGATTAGACAGACAGACAGACAAACAGACAGACAGACAGACAGACAGACAGACAGACAGACAGACAGACAGACAGACAGACAGACAGACAGACAGAGACAGAGACAGACAGATACCTAAATGCTCACACAAACTAAACAAACCCAGAACTAGCTAAAACCATTTATCTGCAAAGGAAGATGGAATCATAATTTTTGCAGAGATGACTCTCCACAGTAGACTTAGAAGCCAACAAAGCAAAATGTCTGCAGTGACAGAGGGATAAAGTCTCATCTTTGAATAAATCATTACATGATAAACTCAGAAATCAGCTTATAATTCTTCAAAATTCCAAACGTAAGCCATTAAAGGGATTTGGTGCCAAAGTTTGAGGGGTCTTACATAACCATTGAAGTTGGAGGGAAAATAAGAAATTGTGGTTAAAGAAAAACCAGTGTGAAAAAAATGTGTCTCAACCTCAACAGGAAGGACAAAGATCTCTGTTACTCAGCCTCCAGCTCTAATAAAACTCATTCATCAAAACATCTGATGAGTTTTCAGTAAATTTGACACATCTGTAATATGACTAGCAAAACAACAAATAAAACCTTATGTTGCACCAAAAGCAGTAATAATGTGACTTTTTTAGCTATCCGGAATCAACACAAAACGTCTGTGTTGAAAAAGCGACCCTCCTCTGTTATAGCACATGGCTCCATTTAAAGTTGCAGTAATGTTTAGGATAACTCCACATGACGATTTGTGATGGTGGAACATTTTCATAGAGACCCTAAGCTGGAGTGCTGCTCTCCTACAATGCAGATATTTTCTTGTAGCTATTTCCTGACTTACAAAAACTAACAAGCATCTGCCTTCCTTAAACAGGATGCTCTCCTGTCTTTCCCATTTTGATGAGTGCCAATTAATTAGGGGCCTCTACTGTCACATTTATAGGATTACTAATTATAATGTAATAGGCATTTTGATCAACTCAGAGAATTAGCATGCAAATTGTGAAAATACCTCACATTTATTTTATACAAGTTACTAGGAATGCTAATAAATATGGCACATTTGATTTTTCTTAAAAACTATCATTTCATTATGAGATTATGAAACAAGATGGAAATAAACAAGTCTTCGTATCTCCCAGTTTTTATTAGGCCGATAACATTAAGTTAAGAAAGATAACAAACATAGACTAATAATACCGCGCTTTATGCCAATATATCATACAACACAAATAAATCTCTAGTATTCATAGAGGAGGTGCAATTAAACTTTCATAAATCCAATATTTATTTTTAGAAGCAGCTTTCAACTGTTGTATTGCTTTCAAGTTTCCCTTTAAGACTTGATCATTCTTTTACATTCAGTCTGATCTGACAAAAACAATTATCTGTATTTTAACAACACTGAGAAATATTAGTTCCTCTCCAGCACAAACTGTTTTATTTAGCCTCTAATTTTACAGCCACTCGTCTGAATACTTTGTCCCAGTTACATTATGTTTGCATCCTGATTCAGACAGAAGACGTCTCTAGCAGCGTTCAGTTCTTTTGATTATGTGCTCTTTAATGAAATGTGGAGTGCAGAAATGTGTCTCGATAAAACCAACACCCGGGTCGAGCTCAACAATGACACTTTCCCAAGAAAAGTAAATGTCAAACATCTCTGTTAAAGTACAAACTGCAGGAATTGAAGGACAAAAGTCAACATTAAATCAATAAAAAAAAAACTATAAAATAAGTTCTTGACAGACTTCTGTTGCCTGATATTTACTTTTCTTTTTACATTTTCAATTCAAACTTGTACAAAATTGAATGTCTTGGTATCCAGACCCAACGAGAAAGTATGTTGCAGAAGAAGGGAAATGGAGGCGAGAAAACAGAAAAGAGAAATGTAATGTAAATTTGTGGGAGGAAAAAAAATTTACATTTGACCTTGAAAAATATTGTAATTCTGAAAAAGTAATTAAAAACCTTGAATTTCTTAGCATCATATGGAAGTTAAAAAAATACATCCAGCTGATAAAGTGTCAACTTTAACTATTTTGGTTAGAAACTGTTTGTATTCTTTTTTGCCACTTTGCATCTCCATCATCAGTATTTGCTGTCCCCTTATTCTGTAATTTCTATCCCTATTTTTGCAGTTGCAGTAAATTTACAACTTTTTAAGGCTTCATTCACACCGTTTTCCAGCTCTACCTCAATTGTACTAAAGTTATTCTAATTTCGCATCAGTTTTAAACCTGTAATTCAGGCTGTTGTATGTTTTTTGGTTTATTTATAATCCATTCCACTTTATTTTGCTCTAATTTTGATTGCTAAGGCACTAAATAAACTGGTTCATGAATTCTGTAAAAAAAAAAATTGGAATAAATTGACGTTGTGTATCAGGCTGCTGGTATACATATTCACATTCTTTGAGTTTTCTTCACATGTTGTCATGTGAAGAATGACAATATGTCATTCTTCACATAGCATACAATCTGCTAACAGATTTTCATCTGTTAGTATTGTATGCAACAAGTCAAAACAAAGTTGTTCTTTGTGTTCAGATTGGCTGGAGAGCCACAGAATCTCATGAACTTTGATTAGGCTATATAATCACGTCACTATCACATAAAATTTCAATTAAATATACTGGAATTTGTGGTTGCAACGTGACTAATAGAAAACTGAACTGGAAATGGGTGACAAACTTAAAATCAATCCATAAAGTCTGAGAACTACTGAATAGGAAATTAAGAGTGCATTTCAGGAGAAATAAGGTTTGGAATAGACAAAATTAGGTCGTTTTCTCTGAACCTTTCAGGGGCTGATGGCCTCCTGTCTGAGGTCAAAGGTCAGAAACCCCTGTCCTACCTGTCTCTCGGGTCGATCCAGCTGGTGGTCTTTTCAATGTGGTTGATGTAGTAGATTTTCCCATCAAAGTCTTTGGCTTCCTCCCAACCGTGTGGTAGTGGCAACTCCTTCCTCGGCATGTCAGGCGAGTATCCATGTAATTAGCTCTTCTCTAGGCTGAATCATAAGGAAGGGACACCATCGCTTTTCTCTGTCATCACCACCATTATCATCATCATCATCATCATTATCAACAACAACGAAAAACAGATATTTACTTCCAAATCAACAGGCCTGCTGCGGTTCGGATTATGCCACAATCTAGAATAATAATCCAGAGAGAGAACCTTAAAAAAATATATTTCAGGGGATGGAAATGGTCCAAGAGGTTGCACTTGCTCACCAAATCATCAGCAGCCGTCATTAAAGAAAATAAACATAGAAATGCTTAAATTAATTCTTTGCGGTTTTCCTGTGTGGTTTAAAACGTGTCGAGAAACTTTCAGGCGGTCTGATGGGAACTTTTTCAGGCTAACTCCAATTACCCACGGTCCACAGAACAAGTTCTTTTAACGGCCACGAACCGCCGTTTGAGCCACAGAAACCAAACAAACACGCGGATAAAACCACCACCGGGAAGGCAGCGTCTCCGGAGCCTTGGTGTCTGCCGCCGCAAAGGGTTCGGGCTGCGGATGGAGTTACTGAAAGTTCCCCCTCACGGAGCTCCCGGATTCTCCTCACCAGCAGGCCACCATGTTGATCAGCGGTAACCGAGGCTAGCAGCCAGCGGCTCGTATAGACACTCCGAGCCGCTCCGAACGTGTCAAAAAGAAGTACCGAGAAACTTCACGGCTGAAACCCTGTAAATCGGCGCAAACTTCCCGCTTGTTCAGTTAAAGTCTCCGCTCGAAGTCAGGGGAAACGGATGGGAGATGCGGCGCTAAAGTCTTTCCCTCAGTCCCGATCACTTCGGTGCACCGCGATAAAGCTGGCTGCCTTCACTACCTACTGCTTCCGGTTTCAAAATAAAACATCTGTTGATTAATACAGCCCATAAAAATAAAACATCCTGTAAAAATGCTCTCCTATTATTATTGAACCTAATCTTAAAACATTCAATAATTTTTAAATTAGCAAAACAAAGTATAAAGAATTTTTTTAAGTCTTAAGAAAATAGTAGAATTTTGTTCAATGGGAAAAATGTAAATTTTAAATTTGACTTTTATTTTGTTGATGTTTTAGATTAATTTATTATTTCAACTATTTATTATTTGCTTTAAAAATCAAACAGGGGCATTATTGTTACTTCTATTTTTTTTAAAATCCCATTTTTTTATTTGTTACTAAAATAATACGAAAATTATATTCAAGTTATTTAAATTAAGATATTTTTGATGGAACAAATGTCAATATATTGTTTTATTATCTCTTTAATTTGAAACATTTTTTCAATTTGCTGAAAATGTTGTTTTACATATCATATATACTATGATATCCATATTTTAATATGCATTGAAAACATATTAAAAAGTTTTTTTTACAAAAAAAACTGTATTGTAATACTAAAAGATTTATTAGTATCCTATTTTCTATTATCTTACCACTCCCTTGTTGTAGTATTTGAGTTAGGCTTTGTTTTATTAAAATTCAGTATGTCCAGCATTTTTCGGCATGCAACGTGGCTGAGCGACAGCTTGTTCAAGTCTTAAGTATCTTTGTCTTTTCACAAAAAAGACAAATAAAAGTTCAGACGACTCAGCGTTTGGAGTTTTTTTGTTGTCGTGCGTGGTTTATTACTCTCATCAGACTCTGGTGAGGATGTTTTTTTTTTTTACTTTTAGTATAAATATAGTATCGCAGGATTCAAACCCCACTTTTCCTGAGGATTTTATAAAAGCACTAACGATTTACCCTGAATGATAATAATTCAGATATAATATTTAAAACCATAGGTTCAACTCTTTAACATTCCTCGTATTGTTTAAGGTCAGACACTAAAAACATAAGATTTTAATAATACTCTGATAGGTTTTCTGAATAAAATATGAAAAATAAATGTCCTTATATGTATTTATCTTAAATGCGTCAATCTTTAATTTTTTTGCTTTTAAAGACTGAATCCAGTTCCATGTGAATCACGAAACTGCCTTTAGATGGCGCTCTAACTCCGGGTTCACCCCATGCAGGTGGAAAAACCTTAATCAGTCCAACCTCAGTTTTAAGTCAAACATTCAGATCCTTTTACTGACATCATGGTGGTTATGATGCCTTCACGTTCTGTAGGTTATTTGTACTTGAGCACGTATGTGCCAGATTCCTTCATCCCATTGAAGATTTTTTCATCACTTTAATTCAAGTTATTAATAAAATATTAAAGGTAGATATATTATGAATGTATATCTTAAAAGACGCAGTTTTTAAATGTACATTCAATATATTTATTCATAATACATCAAATTGAAAAAAATATAGATTTTTTTTAGGATATGCACATGTGAACATTTCGAAACTAAAGTCATATTACGAAAAAAAAATCATTACGCATATAGAGTCATAATATTACGAGAGAAAAGTGACAGTTTGCAATAAAATCACAATATTAGGATAATATAGTGGTACGAGAATAATAATACAAGTTGTAATAATATGAAAAAAAATGTTTATTTGGACAATAAAGTCGCAATATGACGTAATTCTGATAATGCCATAGTCTCATATTATTTCTACTTTATTCTCGCATTTATTCTCGTAATTTTATGACTATTTTCGTAATTAATTTAGTTTTTCTGTCGTCGTTCTCCATCGTAATAATGTAATGAAGAAGTATGTGTAATTCCTTTATTTATTGAATATAAATATTTCTCATATTATTTAACTAAACATATTTCATTCATAAAAAATAATTACATTAAGAATCTGAATTATATTTGTCAGTGAAAATGAGTGGGCTTTAAACTACATAGAAAATAACAGCCAGAGTTATAATACAAATAAATAAACCTTCAATACGCCAATAAATAAAAACATTAAATTAACTAAGATTCAACGGAGAGGTCTGACTGCTTTGATTCCGCTTTAACCAGAAGGCGCTCGCCGTTTCCGAGCCACAATCGAACACACCAAATTTCCATATTCTTTCACGCGCTTCTCGTAAACAAAAACAGACTGAGAGAAAGAGAAAAAGAGAGAGAGAGACAGAAAGAGAGAGGTCCCCTGTAGTCAGTAGGGCAGTGGAACTTGAAGGAGCAAGAAGTTCCACGAGCAGACTCCCGTCCACCGGTCTTTGGTTCCGGTTCTAACCACCTCACACATGGTTCTCCTCCGGCATATCTCCATCGCCTTTACCGCCGCCGTGGCCGCCCTGGGCTCCGCTCTCTTCATCGCCCTCAACTACTTCTACAAGCGGCGCTTATGGTCCCCACAGGCGGCTTACTGCACCATCACAGAGGTGAGAGGTTCTGATGTAATTCCTTAGTAATTAAAAGAATTACATCTTTTATATCGCGTGATTGTTATTTAATTGTTATTAAAAAGGCAAAAAAAACAAAAAACAAAAAAAAAAAAACGCCGCAGAATCCCGATCCCTGAATTATGACGGCTATTGGAAACAACAAGAATCCTAAGAATGATGATGCTTCTGGCAACTACAAAGTGGCATACTGTGAGGAAGATGATGATAAATATCTAATCACCGTCACATAATCACAATCACCGTCATAATTGTGATTATCTTCACAATCATGACGGTGATTGTGAAGATAATTTAAGTATGAAAAGTGATGATGAAGACAACTTTAATGAAGGATGAAGAGAACTAAAACAGTGATGATTATGATAATAATGTCAATGAAATGGAGGGAAATGATGAGTAGAGGACAAAGGCAGGGAGTCATTGAGTTGGGTGAATGGATGATGGATTGCGAAGACAAATACACAGACAGGTGGAAAGTTTGATATGACAGAAGTACTATATAGATATTAAAGGAAGGATAGAGGGACAGAGTTTTATGGACAAGCACACTGATGGATGGACAATTGGATGAACAAATTGAAGGATGAATGGAAGTACAGATATATATCTGTACTTCCAATGACTGGATGGATGGATGAAGGGGCTATTGGAAGGACAAATGCATAGGTGGATGCCTAATCTGTTTGGACAGTTACATAGTCAATTGGATTACAAAAAGGGATGAATGGCATGGTTGGATGGACTCCAGATGGATGATCCAAGGAATATGTCTGTTATGAACAGTTCACATGTTTCTACAGTTTTCCCAAAGAAACAGTTCCAGGATTGGAATGACAGAGGACGCATGTCTCCCTGTCTTCTGAACATGGGACACATAATGAAAAACAACATTATGGACGCTAGTCCTCTATTTATTCTCTTTTAACTAACTAAAAAAAACCAACTAGAACTTTAGTAATCGATTAATCAGGTATTTGAACAATTATTCAGACAATTAATCAGTTATTCAGATAATTAATCAAATATTTGACACATTCTGCAGATTTTTTATGTGACCACTTAAGCTTTTCTTAAACACAATATATGACAAACAAATTCCTTCTTTAAATAAGAAAATTAACATGTTATACAAAATTAGAAATATATTAAAGATGCCAAGAAATGTCAGTATTTCTTAATGAACTTTGGCGTGGATCTCCCAGTGAAATATTTTTACATATCTCTAATCTTGTTTTTTCATCTCTGAATATATGAGTCCATTTTCAGAGAATAACGCTGGCTGGCAGAGACCCCACGTGGGGCTGTGTTTTTATTCCTGAAGCCGAAATGTTCCAAGGAGACCGAGGACAAACAGACTCACAAGTTTAAAGATGGCGGTGTGGAATTTGTTAGAAGGATCTGTAGACTACTCACCCATCATGACCTTAACTTAGATATTAAAATTGAAAAAGTAACTTAAAAAAACTGAATATGACAGAGGACAGGCTGACCCATCTGACTGGACTGCATTTTTCATATTCCTGACTTCTGTCCATCTTAGGCGAGTGTTTTCCAACTGCAGCCACAAACTTCATCATAAACCATCACAAACACCTCCACAAACTCACATAGGAAAATTATGAAATTCTACCACTTCATAATTATGCACCAATTATGCACCATGTTTACCACATTAAGTCCTCTTCAAATGTGTTAGAGATTGAGGTTATAACACAACAAAAGACTCTTGTAAGTCCTTATGTTAAGTGGAATATACAGACTCATGAAAGGGCCATATTTCTAAAAGAACAACACACTCAATGAGCAGCAATCAAGCCAAAACAGTAAAAAAAACAAATAATAAAAAAAACCCTACATTTTTCATTTAAGTACTAGAAGAAACCCTTCTTTGTCTGTGAATATGTTCTTCTCACATAGCATAGCTTTAACTTCACCCAGTTCTAATTTTGTAAAAGAGAGAGAAAAAATTCTAAGAAGCACCCTTTGCTATCCAGTTGGTCAATCCAAAAAATAACCAATTGATCAGCCTTAAAATGTAATGATAAATCAAGCAAAAAGAGCTGAGCTTTTTATATATTCTTGTCATGAGTATTTTTTGGATGCAGATTCATCCTTTACTACAAATTATCAAACGTTCAATGAAAGACCATAATTGCATTTTAAACAGTGACATGTTTATATTTTATTTCTAAAAAGAAATTATTTATTTATTTGCATATTTCAGGCTATTTCTAAAATTGGATAAAAGACTTGAGTTAAATGAAAAATCTGCCAAATTTGATCATTTTTCTATCATATTAATTGATTAATCTTCAAAATAATCGATTACCAAATTAATAATTTTATACCAATTCCCCTGTACTCTGATCCCCGTAAGTAAAATTAAAAGTCTGGAATTTGTTTTTATTTATTTGTGTCCAGGTTTGCATGGAAAAATAAAAATGAGCTTTGAAAAATGGAAAAATATTGGATTTTCTAGAAAAAGAAACCTAATAACCACTAGTCCAAATATCTGCATATCTGCTTCAAACATCATGCTCCACTCAGAATAAACTCTGAGCAAATCAATGGATTTTGTGCTGAAAAAGCTTCAGATTATGACCTTAGCTCTTATCTTCCAGTGGAAAGATTTGTTCAGCTGAAGCAAAACTTAAAAATAAAACTGCCTCATTTGCATGTTTTCTCATTTTGCAGAAGTCTGAGCTTTTATAATACCTAATGTGGCAGAACCCATTCAGGCAGTTTAAATGTTTACCATTTCTTCATTCAGGATTATCAAAATGATTTCTATTTACTGAATACCAGAAAGATGAGAGATGTAGGTATTCAAATGTTTTAACCCTCTCCAGGCAGGTGTTGCAGATTTGCAACAGCTAAATGCTACTTATCTAATTACTCCACATCCATATTTTAAGAGCTTTTTTTACTCAGAAGTACAACAGAAAGGCTTAGTTGTGCATTTGCAACAAACAGTTTCCCTCCAGCTCTCCACATGGTACTGCCGACTCACTTTCAACATGGCTGAGTCCTTGGTGTCACTGAAACAGATTTTCTAAGCATCAATTTCATGAAAGTATCACTACCAATTTCCATTATTTTGAAATCAATACTACATGAGATGAATCATGAATGTGTATAGATATGACACATGCCAATTAGTAGATTTGATCTCCTCCGGGTTTTTCTCCTAGAGGCATCTCGATTTCAATGTTGTGGATTTGCAATGTGTGCCCAAACAGGTACCAATGGATGTTACATGCAGATATAAAATTGCAGATCCCGATTTTTTGGAAACTCCTGAAGCTTATGAGTCTGACTCCAGCTTTGATGAGGATGAGATTCTAGCAGATATAGCAAGAACTGATCCCAACCAGCTTGATGTTGAAATTCATCATGCACATGCAGACAGTGACATTGAGCCACCAGATGACAAAGATTTTTCTTAGAGACAGAGGAAACCCCCTCTGTCCAAGGACCTACGTTCTCAACTCCACCAGACGAAATCCCAAGTCCAAGGTGGTATTTTGATCAGTTCGTGGACAAATCTGTGTTTGAACACATTTCTCACCAATCTAACCTGTATGCCGTTATAAAGAATGGCCCAGAACTGAAAACAACCCCTGCTGAAATGGAGCAATTCATTGGTTTACACATCTTGATGACCATAGTACGTATGCCATCGTACCACATGTACTGTCAGACGGCAACACGCTATGACCCAATCACAACAGTCATGGGATGTAAGAGATTTGATCATATGCGAACATACATCCATATGAATGACAATACCAACATGAAGCAAAAGGGTGAGCCTGGATATGATCCACTGTTCAAGGTGCGACCAGTGCTTGAGAAAGTCCGGTTGATGTCAGACTAGACATGCTGAGAAACGTGGATGATGCAGACTGTGCAAGGACGGCTATACACAAACGGCCTGCTTGAAGTGCAAAGTACTTTTGTGCTTCACAAAGACCAAGAATTGCTTCATGGACTACCACACAACAAAGTGACTTACAAAAATGGCCTTCTCAAGAGGTTTTGAAATGTCGGTGGAGAAAAAGTTTGAGAAAAAGTCTCTAATTTTGTGAGAGAAATTTTTGTTTTTCAAATTTTGTTTTGTTAATTTTTTTGTTTGTGACATTCAAATAAAGTTAACATTCATATCAGATTCAGTCCTCAGTGTTAATTTACCACTCTGGGCTGTTGTTGCAAATCTGCAACATCCCAGAATTCATTGCATGTGAAGGTTTCTCTCAAAAAAAAGCCTGAATCGTATATTACTACCCCATATGATTATTTTCTCCAAATGTCAGATTTTTCCTGCAACCACAACTTAATTTGAGCCTGAGAGGGTTAAAGGCAACACCTCCAACACACTGCTTCCTTGTGTGACATGTTTTGGAAATCCACAACTCCATAAGTCTGGTTCATCTTTGTGTTACAATTTCCAGTTACCCGAAGATTCATTTGTTCGAACAATTCGAGAAAAGGAGATAAAAAATTGTCAAAACATCAAAGTGTTCAGAAAGGAGAAAAGTGATTTGGTACAAAGTGTGGAAATTAGGTGTGGATATAAAAATTTGGGATTATATCAACATCTGATATAAATAAGAACAATTACATTTACTGGAGGTGATTTTTGGCTTTTCCAAAAAAATAGTTAATGTGAGAAAGTGGAGCTGCAAACACATTTGGAGAGTAAGTTCTGACATATTGAATGCTCCCATTCACTGGTGGGTATGTGCTGTACCAGAGGCACAAAACTAAAAAAAAGTGCATCTCCTTGCAGCCATTTTCACATGTTATGTTGCGAGAGGGTATGGCCATATTTCTGAGCAGGACCTTATTTGGATTTAAAGAGACAAGAGAACCTAACAGCTCATTCTGAAAGAGGCTCAAACTGACCAAATATCTCATTGTATAAGAATGATTTTGTACTAAATGTAATGAACATGTTTAGTATAGACCATAGATCTATATTAACCTGATAAAGAAAGCATAATAAGTCACCTTTAAGGACAATGTTTTGGCACAGCCATCACAAAGCACTGGTTTCAGTTTTGTTGGAAATTCTTGTAAATTAACGAATGTTTCTCTAGTTATTCTTTCATGTAGAAAATATAAATAATTTAGGTAATTCAGACGGACATAAGGCAAACAAAAGTTTAGTCCAACTTAATCTCCGACAGAGAGGTCAAGAAAGTTTACTACAATAATACAAATATTACTTTTTAGCTAAAGATATTTAATCTGGGATTAAGAATCAAGCTGGAATAATAAAGTCCAGGCAGACACAGGGAAACATCGCTGCAGCCTCAGCAAAGTTGGCAAGATTTCTGCGCAGTCAGGGTTTGGAATTTATCTCCAACTCAACCAGGAATACACAGAGCCAAACATCGAATATTTAAGAACCTGTTGCTCCCCAGCAGCACTGAGCAGACATTAAACATGCAAACTACCATCCATGCATCTTAGAACGCTTTATACTGCAGAATGAAACAGCTTTAGCAGTTTCATTGTGAATTTATTAAAAACATGTACAAATTTGAAAGATATCAAGATTAATCATGCAGCAGCTAAGTGAGGAAATGTTTCTAATGAGAGCTGATGAGTTTGGCTCTAAAACAGCTGATATGATTTAGTAATTAACTTTAACTGACAGCTGAAATTAAACCAAAGCTTGTTTGGGTTCCTAAAAGGAGATCAGCACATTTATCAGTGCAATGCTGGTAAAATATCCGCTCTCCGCTGATTCAAACTTCTGATCGTTAAAGTGAAATAAAATATTACAGAGTGTGTAATAGATGCATATTGATGCATAAATGATGATCCTGTCTGATTAAGTTATCTGTGTTAGGACTGTGGAGAAAACTAATGTAGTTTGTAAACAAACTCAGCACAGTTGATAATATAAATATGAACATGGAAGCTGTTATTAAAGTTGTTATTGATAATTATTTACCTACAAAAACAAACTTTTACTTGCCTAAAATAGAGGTTATGGTTGGACAGTTAATGTTATGTGTCCGTCGTTCATAGAACATTGGTTTTGTAAAATTATTCACACCAATAAATACCGTGACTCCGTGGTATTCACAGGGGTTGCGAACCCACAAAAATCATGAGGAAAAAATCTTTGAATACATGACTTCCCCTCTGAATGCTTAGAACTGAATATAATAATAATAATAATAATAATAATGATAATAATAATAATAATAATAATAATAATAATAATAATAATAATAATAATAATAATAATGATAATTATCATTAATAATTATTATTATTATTATTATTATTATTATTATTGTGTATAATAATAATAACAACAATAATAATAATAATAATTATTATATAATAATAATAATTATATAATAATAATAATAATAATAATAATAATAATAATAATAATAATAATAATAATAATAATAATAATTATTATTATTTTTATTATTATTATTATTATTATTATTATTATTATTATTATTATTATTATTATTATTATTATTGTAAAGAATTTAGATCAAAGCAAATTCTGGTGTTGGAACGACCCAAAATCCAGAAAAACTGAATTTGTGACAACACTTCTAAGTTGATGTTCCAATGACCTATCCATCCATCCATCCATCCATCCATCCATCCATCCATCCATCCATCCATCCATCCATCCATCCATCCATCCATCCATCCATCCATCCATCCATCCATCCATCCATCCATCCATCCATCCATCCATCCATCCATCCATCCCTCTGCCATGATTTGAAAAGCCTAATTCATATTCGAACCTTAAGATTTTAATCTCATCTTCCCCCACCATAAATCCCCCGCTCGGGGGTTTACTAATGAACGTGTTTAATCTGATTTCTCCGACTCCGCCCGCAGGAGGAAGAGGAGCGCGAGAAGCGGCAGGTTCTGGTTCTAGGCCTGGATGGAGCCGGGAAGAGCAGCATGCTGCAGGGTTTGACCCCCGGGGAGTCAGCAGCCAAAAGGGGCCGATCCCGGCCCACCCGCGGCTTCAACTTTATGAGCCTGGATACGCCCAGCTGTCAGCTCGATTTTCTGGAGAGTAGGTCTCCTTTCACCCCTTTCTGTGTGGATTTCTGTTTTAAGAGCATGAAAGGCAGAAATTAACCCTCGGTTCTGAACAGCAGGGGCCTTTATTTGATCAACGACTAAAACTAGGCTAAGTCTGATTCTCAAACAGCATTTTAAAACCTGAAAAATGTAGCTGTACTGAAAGGCAGCAGAAATAAAATAATGTCTCCATTCAGTAATGATGGGAGCTTGAAATCCTGAGGCTTGAGATTGAGTTTGAGGAGTGCGTCATGCTGTGCGACTGATTTATTCATGATCTGAACATCTAATCAGTTTCTCATCTCAGTGAGAGAAGCCCAAGCCACCACCCACTCAGAGCGCTTCAGAGGCTGAGCGGCAAATGTCACAGCATTTTATATGTGACATCGATGCAGAGCCAAGTTGGGAGGTGGTTCATCTCAGAGAAAATCCTGCAACCTGTATGGAAGTTATCACCTTCAAATGATGCATTAGAGCAGGGCTGTCCAAACCTTTGGTCATGTGGGTCAAAATTGTCATCTCAAAAGTACTTGCGGGCCAAAAAAAAATTTTTTAAACCAAAAATCACAGAAATATTGATATACCAACTCAACAAAAACCTAAATACAAATTAATTCAGTTAAACCAGTAGAATAAGAACTGGACTGTAGATTCAAAACTTTTAATGGTTTTGTGTGTTAAAAAAGGCATGTCATGCAAAATCCACATTTTTATGTTTTTTTTTCTTCCATTTGGGTTTCTACTGCTTCTACAAACAGAACACTGTCTTGACATCCAGCCTTTTGACAATAACTTTATTTGTTTTGGTATCTGAAAAATTTGCCTTTTCAAAAATCACAAATCACCAAACACCTTGCCATTACCTTCCAACCCCAGCAAAACCCAATCCTGTTACGTAGCAATCCAAGTGGAGGCAGCACATTTGGTTGTATGTGCTGTACAATGACTCCTGGAAAAGACAAGTGTTTTATTGCTGACTTTCTTTCCAGAAACCACTTGCGGCATTCTTGTTGCTTGTGCAGGAGGCTCTGCTGATGCTTTTCAAAGTTGTACAGTTGTAAAATTATGCATCTGTTTTCAGCCATTTTCATTTGCAAGTGTAATAAACATTGAGTTGTGGGGCGCGTCCAGCAGCAGGTTATTTGGATTTAAAGTGACAGAGCCCTAAACCAGCTCATTCTGGAGGGAGCTCAAAATAGGCAAAATGGACAATTGACCAGATTAAAATTTCATTATGTAAAAATTATTTTGTGCAAAAAGAATTAATAAACATGTTTTGCCTAGCCCATAGACTTGGGCTAACTTGTTGAAGATGCAACAAATAATATAATTCCTTTTTTAAATAAGAAAATAGGCATCCAATGCTGTTTCTAAAATGAAGAAACAGCATTGACATTAGTGACATTAATCATTTACAGCACAGGATGTGCTGCTAAAACAGTGTGGGGCTAATGGATTAACCAATTAATAGTTTGGTAGCAAAAGGTGCTAAATTGGAGCCTTTTTTCTAGAATTTGAACTGGGTGAAACAAAAACGGTCACTTCAGGAGTCATGAGTAGAAAATACAAAAGACAGAAAATATTTTTCATCTTAAATGCAAAAAATGTGTTCTGGCATAATTACTGCTCTGAATTTGTTTTTTGTTTTTTTTACCAAATTGCCTTTTTCACTCTGCATACGCCAGTTAATGATTAATCAATTATTACATTATTTGTGTTTACTGTAAAAATCATAATTAATCATTTCAGCCATAGTTCAATCACTATTTCGGCTAAAATCTTTACTAAACGTTTTTGGTTTAGGTTTTCTGATTCTTAAAACTCATAAAACGTGGAGAATAATGAAATGGGAGTTGCCATCCTTCAAAGAGTCGAAACATGCAAACTGCACCCAGATAGCAGTTTACAATACGCAACGGACTGGAAACATCTTAGAGGAAGGAAACTCAGATACAAGGAATGTGTCAAAGTTCAGATTAGCTGAACTTTAGATCCAATTCCAGGCATAAAGTCAGAGCTGGGAGATCCCATAAATATCCAAACAGGCTCGTAATAATCCATGCATTTTTCATCTAGAGCTTGTTCTGCAGTGAAGCACAGGCTGCCAAAGCCCACACAACAAACAGTCAGCAGGAACAAGTTGAACTTCTGCAGCCGAGGCGGACGCTAACCATCTCCCTGGGTGACTACAAGGCTTGCCAAGCTGCTGCAGAGACCTTCATCACCACAGACACTCCCATCTCCTTCACAGTCATATGCTGCATGTTACACTTGCTGGTGTGCATCCTAATGAGAGTGCCCAGCTGAGAGGCACGTCCAGACTCCACATCACCTCTGGTTAACAGGTATTTTCGGCTGCCAGATCACATCAGCCTGAGGTACATGACTGCCCCAGTCTCCTAGCAACCTCCTCCAATTAATGCTCACCAGTGGGGACCAAAAGTCATAGCTGGCAGCGTATGAAGACAGATGGGTTTGACCGCAGAGCGCCTGCAGACATCAGAGCTTCCAGTTGATGTGAAACTTTGCTTCGCTTGAATCTGAATCTGTGACGTTGGGATGTGTGTGGAGTACTGCAGCATGCGGCGATGGTTGGAGTCAGTTCATACCAAAGCTAACAGGGCCAGACTTTAGAAAGCGCCTACAGGGACAGGAGTCCAGGTTGATTGGAGGCCCAAAAGATTGTTCTTTTCTTTATTTTTCTGATGAATATATCTTTAGTAGGGGCCTATGACATGTGTTTTATGTCCTAACATGTTTTATGTCATAAAACATAAAACATGTTTTATGTTTTATGACATAAAACATGTTTTTTATGTTAATAATATGTTGAATTATTATCCTAATTCAACATTTTTATTTTTCATTTTTCTAAATTCAGTTTCAACCATATTAAACAAAAAAGAATGCTAATATGATGTGAATGAAACAAAAGATTTAATAAAGCAATAGATAGATATCAACATTAAACGTTACTCTGTTTTAAGTATAATAGACATCTGTGGCTCAACAAAACATTGGTTTCCCATCATCCATCCCTTTTTTGTATACCCTTAAGGGGTCCCTAATGGGGTCGGGAGGGGATTTCCCCATCATTACGTTTTAAAAAAACTCAAACATTATGTGCAAAATCAAAGATTCTCGTTTCAAACATAAAAGACGTATTATGTAAAATTGACTTTTGCATCATGCAATTGTCATGTTTTTAGAAACTTGTCTGACCCAAATGCAGGTACACCCTCTGGAGATGAAAACAGTGTGCTCACTTTTATTCTAAATTATGCAACAGTGTATACACGCAGGCGCTCAGAGCAAGAATAATTCTGCTTTGGGAAATTGGTTCTGGACCTCCACCCGGGAAAGGGGACATTCAAGAGGGGGAGGCGACTTGGGAGCGAGTGGTGGAGCTAGACCGGTCTGGGCTGCCGCAGGGTGGACACCGCTGAGGGGAAGCTTTTCGAACCAGAGATAGAAACCCAGGATCAGGGCGGTACACCTGGCGAGACAGAGCACAAATGTGGATCAGTTCAAGACTCAAAGACTTAGAATTAGACCTGAGACTCTGAGGGCTCGAGTTGCCGCATAGCCAAACACTCTGGCATCAGAGGGTCGGCCGCCGGTTCTTCTTATGCACCGTTTAATGAAAGGGGATTACTTGCAGGTGTGTGGGAGAGCCTCAGAGAGGACATCTAGTGAGGAACTGAGGGGACTTGCGGGAGGAGACAGAGAATCCTAACAGTAATGAAGTTATTCCTTCATCAAAATCATACCTGGAGTGTTGCTTTAGGTCTTTCATGCATGTTTGAGAAATACTTTAATCTCCATGGCAGAGTGGACTTAGCTCTGCCTTCAATTTCTAAGCTTCCAAGCTTCTACATCACTGAATTCCTCTCCCCTGTGACACTCGGCCCCTTCAGACTAGCTAGTAGCAATTAGCAAACACCTGGTGGAACTAAACATCTGCAGAATTCATTATTATCAGTGAACTGCTGGTAAAAACTTTGTTAAAGGGTTTTAGAGGAGCACTGTCTGGGAATGTTTTTAAATGAATTTAAGATTTTAAGAATGTTATGTTTAAAAAATGATGAATGAATGACTGCACTCTATTTCTGTAAATAGATTCAACAAAGCTGTACAAGAATAAATTTCTTCTGGAAAGGAGAATAAAAAATAGTCAATCAGACGTGGAACACTGAAATCTTAAGGCCAATCTTCTGCAGGAAAACAAGATATTACATAAAGATAAAGAAATTTCCCTCCAAATCATCCTCTACAAACCACTTTCCCATGAGGATGCATTTCCTCCTTTATTGAAAATCGGATCTCATTCTTCTTGAAACAAAAATAGAATACATCTGTGGCCAATTTGTTCATAGAAGCTTATCAAATTCTGCTTGTCAAACCGTCCGTTTATTTATTAAAGTGGGACCCGGAGCGATAAAGGATGTCGACAGAAACGACAGAGGAAAAGCCCTGTAGGAGCAGGATGAGAGATGCAGCAGAAATATTCTTCTCTCTCAATGGAGCTTTTTTTTGTCACTTAAATGTTTCAAAATATCAAACTGATAAATTTTTGACAATGATAAACAGAGTAAATAGAAAAGTAGGTTTTAAATCATGGTTTATTAGAGACAAAAAAAAAAATATTACAATCTAAGTGAAAAGTAATTATCCCCTTAAACTAATGATCGAACCACTTTGAGAATCAATGGCATTCATGAATCACATTTGAGTCCGTACTTTGACTATGCCACTGAAACCTTCCCTTTCTTCATATTTCATGGATTTATTACGCAAAGATGTGCTTGGAGTCTGATTAACTGATTGGATTTGTCAGACTTGTAGAACTGAGTATCATCAGCATAACATTGAAAAGGTTTCTTCTCTGCAGTTGGTGGTGGAGAGGACCTACGGCGGTACTGGGGGGACTACCTGAGACGGACCCACATTCTGGTCTATGTGGTGGACTCGTCGGACAGGAGCCGCCTCCCATTGGCTAAGGCTGAACTCCACTGCCTCCTGAGGGTGGAGCCACAGCTGCCTGTTGTTGTCTTGGGAAATAAGCAGGTAAACTACAAGACAGAATGTTGTTTCAAGTGGAATAACATTGTTGGTGGTGGACACTTAGGCCCAGTCCACATGGAAACGGTTTTAGGTATATCTGCGAATGGCCTGGCACACGTTTTCTGTGGTGCTGCATCCTGTCATGTTGATACATAGTTTTTTCTTATTTGTTTACAAAAATATACAGTGCTCCTCTCTGTATGTACAGGGCCTTGGGCCTTGTCTACGTGAGAACATTCTTTCTAAAACAGGTTGTCAGTTTTAAAGACATCTGCATTCACACGTTACCATTTCCATAAATGTTTTAATCCACACTGAAACACTGAAAATGACCCGAAATGAATCTGTTGAGCTTCCCTTTAGCACACGGTCATGTTTTTTAAAAAAGTGACGAAATCAGGACTAGACAGAGTAAATTTTGTCATTTTCCTTATGTCAGGTTTAACACTTATTAAATACAGATTAAACAAACACAGGAAAGACAAGAGAGTGAGATTCTTTCTTACTTGCGAGGAGAACAGACAGAGATGTGCTTTCAGTTACAATCTCCTACCACTCTGAAACCACATTTGCTTGCCCTTCTCTTTTTATTGTTTTCAGGATCCCTAATCACAAAGAACGCTGTAACTCTAAAGGGAGGGGAAAGCACTTCATCACATAGCTACAGTGCCAATGACAATCACTAACTAAAACACAAGGTATCCTGCACTTGATAGTCTTGTGCTAGACACAGAGCAAGTTGCACATCTTCACTGTCATAGTTTTTTAGCAATCTAGCCGGTTAGAGGCCTTGCTTCCCGCCGAGAGATAACCCTGCAGAAACCTGTTGTCACTGCTTTCCTTCAGTGAGGCCTTCTGAGAAAGGAATCAACAATACAGACACATTCTTAATTCTAAGATGAAATTAAACAATAAAAGCATAAAAGAAAGATAATATTATAAAGATACATGAGATTAAGGAATATTTGATTAATAATATCACAATTTCTCCAACACCTTACCAATAAATGGACAGCAATTAATAACACAAGAAACTAAAAAATGTATATAAAACTAATAAAGCAGGTGAAAGTAATTTCCTCTTTAGCTGTCCTACAGAAATAACTCACCTCCTGAAATAAACATGCCTACACTTCCTCCTCTGCTCACATTTCTTCACTCTGTGCTTCACTTCTGGAATTATGCATGACTCCTGGAGAGAGGAAGGAATATTTATCACATCTAACATCGGAGCAGCGTAGCTTTCATTCTCTCGCTGCTGTGGACTGACAGTATAATGAGCTTAAAATGAATTCAACTCAAACTGCACAATGATCCATAATGATGCACAGTAGCTGAAGCTCAGGCAGAATGTGGTGTTTAACATTTTCTAATGCTCTACAGGTGAGTTTAACACACTGTTCCTTCTCTGCTTTCATCTGGAAAATTAATGAGGTGAATCAAATCAAACACAATACATTCTCAAGACTTATGAAATCTATACAAGATTGTTTTTTAGTAAGGTTGGGAATTTCCTCATCAAAATACACAATGGAATTGTTGAATCATTTAAGTCAAAAACAGCTAAATAAAGCATTCAAAAGACTGTTATAAAGGTGGTCGCATCATCTAGAAAGTTCTCCCCTGCCTTTTATCACATTCCGTCAAATTACAAGAAGGCAGAAACCACGACTTTAATGTTCTCTGTAGGAGGGCTGTACTGTACTGCAATCACTGCTTTCATGTAGATGATCTTAAACAAAAACAGCAGCCACCATTAATACATTGAACATGGAGTTACACATACTGATAAAATGGTTATGATTTGTATTCTTCCCTTTGTTTAAGGTTATCTGATTAAATTGATTATTTAAATAATTTTAGGTATTAACTGCCAGTGAAAATGAAACGTTGATTAAAATGACATCAGTTAAAAATGTTGATTAAACGTTGATTAAAATTACATATAAGTTAAAAATGCTTTAAACAGTAGGCTGATGTCCTGGTTTTTCATTGGATATTTAAGCTAGTTGGTTAAACTAAAGTCTCAATTTGTATTCAAATATGTATATAGTTTCAATGCTATATATTTAATTAATATATATTAAAGTAATATTTTAAAAAACCATTGAAGTTGCTCATGTAAGTTAGCTGCATTCTAGAAAAATAGCAACAGCAGCATCATATTAATATATACTTAGCATTAATTTTTGGGCAAAGTCCCACAGTGTTTCATAGAATGGTTAACTATGAAACTTCTGTTTATAGTCATATATAGAGTTTATGTTGATGAAAGACAGACTAATATGATAAAGTAGATGCTAATGGTAATATAACTTAAAGTTGGCTAAATTTACTTGATAGTCATGATGAGTTAAGCTAAATGTTAGCAAAGCAACAAAAAGTCAATATTTGTAAAGCAAATGTTAGTCTTGGACTGTCTCATTTTAAAACTCATTTTAAGATGCAAATTGAAGATTATCGAATACTTTAGTAAGCAAAAAACAGAACCAGTGATTGCCGGTAACATAGCCCTGCTAGCTAGGGAGTTTAGCACCTGTTAAACGTAGCCTCAACCAGACGAGTTACACAACACAATGAACCAAAAATCAAAAATGAAAAAAAAAAGATCAAAAATTTGCCTGACAGAAAAGTCCTGTGAGAAAAAAAAGACTATGCAGAAAGTACAAGAAAATAGTCACACCACCAGAAAATGTAATATCTATGATTACCATATTTAAGGTCAAAATTTATTTAAGACATTTTAAAGCCTTGATTTTAAATACATAAATTTACAACTTTTTAAGGATGCATGGACACCTTGTTTTAAAAATGCACTTTTCATGTTCCATTGCCAAAGGATAAACTGAACGCCTTGAGTGTGGCAGAACTGCACGAAGCCTTGTCTCTGGATGCCGTGACTGATGACAGGAAGCTGTTCCTCCTTGCTGCTCAGTTGAACTCCGAAGAAGCCAGGAGGAAGGCCTGCCAAGACCTGGACACCATCCAGGACCTCATCCTACAGCTCGTCTGATCTCAACTGGACATGGGCTAACTGAGCCAGAAATAGAGCCTATAAGTAAATGGTTCACCCCTTTTCCTGTTTGGTGAGAGATCTGTGCCAGACGAGGAGGTGACAGACAGAAAATCTTCCACCACCATGGAGTTTTCATACAAACAGGAGAAGAAGAGGAGGAACACAAAGTGTGGAAAAAGTGGATGAAGTTTTGATGAAATCAGGTCAAACTGTCCCAGGTTTACTAAAACTAAGTCATTTTTAACCAAGACACTGTAACATTTCACTCTGTGCTATTTTTTGTTGGTTCTTGTTGATGTTTTTATGCACAGAGAAGAGATTAGTCGGAGATTCTCCTGTTGACAAATGACAAACTGTGAAATGATTTCCTAAGGGGATAATTACTGACTCCTGTGTTGATATTTTATTGATGGAGATTAAAAATGGATGCCTATGACACTTCATACAACAGCCTTGCTGTAGCTGCATAAAGATAGTTTGCTATTGGCGATTGTATTTAAGGGGAAACTAAATGTACTTCCAGTGACTTTAACTGTTTGTATTACATTATATTCTTAACTTTGTAATTTCCCAGCATTAGTTAGCCTAGTATATATGCAAAGATATTACGAACAGAGCTAAATCACAAATTTAGTAGAAGGTCAAGAGGTGTTTGATAAAAAGTTCCTGAATACTCATTTTAGCATATGTTTGCCTTTTACCTGAGAGCTTTTGAAAATGAACCAGATACCCACTTTGATTTATTATGGAATATCATTACACACTATAGGGATAACAATTATCTGTAAATACTGTATTAAACCCAAAGTGATCATTTTCTGGAGTTTTGACACCACTTATGTTTGTACAAGTTTTTTTTTTTTTTACAATTTAAGGTTTGCTGGAAATTACATTTTTGCTTTTACAGTTATGCTTAAAATAATAATGAATATAAGAAATGTTTTTTAATGAAGACAATCATGTATAAATTGTCAAATTTCCAGTATTTTCTGCAACAAAGAGACCTTCTCTTTCACACAATTGAGTTTGAATTGATATATTAGGTAAAGCGTTGCTGTAACTTTAATCTGACATCTGAAATGTAATTTGTGGCTAAGCAAGGATTTTATATTTATTTGTTTTTTCCTTGCATTTTTGTCTATATGTTGTGCTGGTTACATGACATGTTTTAGTCTAAAGAAATTTGATTGTATCCTAGTTTTAATCTTTCTTTTCTGTTGACTGTGTAAAGAAAATAGTTTGAATGACTTAAGGTCATTTCAATTCTTTAGGAAACTGTAAAAAAAAAGTCTCAAAATAGGATCAAATTTTACCGAACAAAGCTCCCCATTAGAACAATATTTTTTTCAAAAATAAAAAACTCAAAAGTGAACACTCCGGGTAATTTAACAAGATTCCATTACTTCCCACGTGATCAGAGTAGAACACAGGAAGCATTCAAAGATATCTAAATGACAAGAAAATCAATCCATGTTTACACATTTTTAAACTTTGAATTTTCCTTTTCTCTAATAAGAGATTTAAAATTTCTATAAAGGAAACTGGATACATAGTACAAATCATTCATTTCTCTTTAGTTTTGTTGCTGTAAAATATTAATAAAAGCAGAAAAAAGCAGGGTTGATTAGGTCCATGTGGAACATTGATTATTTGACTTACTGATTTTAAATGTTTATGAGTTTTATCAGTGGTGTAGACGTCCAACCCACTAGCATTGCTTATGTAACACTTAGATAACAACATAAACAAAACTACTTTTCACACCATTTTTATTCAGTTATGACAGCTGAATGGCTTTACCTCTTTAAAATTATGATCAAACATGTGGTGCCTGGTACTTGTCTGAGGAATAATAGAGCCAAATCAAGTTACTCGACAGTAACAAAGCCTGATCAAAGAGTTTTATGTGGTATAAATTTGTAAAATGTATTTCAATTAAATGATTACAAAATTCACCTACTTCAGCTAAGACAGAGTCTGAATTAAGGGGGTAATTATTTAAACATGAAGGATCTCTACTCTTAAAATAGGAATGGCAACATCTGCAGTAGTTTTATGAGAAAATATGTCTATTTCCTGTCAGTACAACATGAAATTATCCAGCCAAGTAAACATCTGAGCAAGAGAGAACAACTCAGGCATAAAGATCTACAAGCCCCAGCAAGTGGCACGCTATCTTGTGAAGCAGCTGGAAAACAACTTTTCTTCCCTCTGCTGACAGACCAGATCAATGCAAGCACATGTCGATAAACCTATATGCCAACATACCTGGCTTGGGGCAAAGTTCACCAACCGGTTGAGCAGGAAGTGCTTCTTTAGACAAATGTCAGTGTTTTTACTGGTGAGGGGGAAAAATGTAACGCAGTCGGGACGAGAGCTCATAAACAAACAAAACCCTCCATCTAGTACAGCTGCTATGTCAGAGGGATTTATGTGGATAATTCGTGACATTACGGCCAGTCAGGGAGCTCTAAAGTTCATAAGATAATCACAAAATATTTTTCTGCAGGATCAGAACTGAAAACTTCTTGATATTTGCATTATCTCTGACTGTTCATCATCATTACAAATGCATAAAAATATAAATTGCTTTTTCAAATGATAAACTTTCATTTCCTAAAATGAAAGTTAGCATTCCTTTCACTTGTAGCAAAGGGGAAGTCTGCAGTTAAAAATACTTTTAAACATCAACATGTTAAAAGCTCAGTCATTTGTTAGATTTAACAATAGTACAGTGTTAGGCTGGTCTTTGCAGCAGATTGCAGAAGGTGCTTTAAAGATTTTTACAGAAGTTGAACGAGGTGAAGTTAAATTACGCCACTTGAGGAATTCTGCATAAATCATATTCACAGATAAAGAAGCAAAATTTATTTTTTTGTATAGTTTTGGTTTTATTGCAGCCCGGAGTATACCGTTCATTTGGCAAATAGCTTTTTTTCAATCTATATATTCCAGTTAATGATTAATCTATTATTTCAATAACTGATTGTTTAAATATTTTCAGCAGTAGTGTTCTGCATTAATAATAAGATGATGAAAATACATTTTCACTAACCGCAGACTAACAGCTTTTAGTCATGTAGAGCAGGGAGTTTACATATTTACTCTCAAACTGATCTGAACAAAAAAAAATCTTGAAGATATGTTAGATAAAAATTTATTCACATTAATTAAATTGACCTTGTATCAAAACATGACCAAGATCTCTGGAGGAATTTTAAACTCTTCTAAAGAAATGTTGGTAATCCTTCAAGTTTCTTTTAAAGCTCAAGTCTTGACTGAGGAAATGATCACTCAATCAACTTCTTCCTTTGTTGGCTTGGTGATACACTTTGGGTTGCCACTCACTCATCTTCTATGAGTGAGCAGCATTTATACTCTTTGATTTTTCTCTTGATCTGTTTGGGTGTGTCCTGGTAGTAGTTCTTCTCATCTCGAGCCATCGCCTCCATGGATCAAGGGACTGATCCATGGCCTCCAGCTTCTCATCTCGACTCGGGACCAACATCTGGACCTGAGTTAATAAACTTCAATGAACAATTTTTCTTCCTCTTTGTGTGAATTTTTTATGAATCCAAAATCCAACGATGGTATGAGGTCCTTTGCTGGTAGTGGGGAGTTTGGCAGTGTCGAAACAGAGATCCAGAGTATCTATTCTTAGCTTTTCATCAACCTATAGTCGTGAGTTTTCGGCTGCATTCACACCAGCCCTGTTGTGATTTAATTGAACTCTGGTTGGTTTACCTAGAAAGTCCAGTTTGCTTGGGAAGGTGTACACCTAAAAACCTCTGTGTCTGTTCAGTTGTAGCGAACTCTGGTGTGGTTCGAATACATATGTGAACATCAGTGGTTCTTGGTGCAGCGCCACCACAGGTGAGGAAGTATCAGATGAAAATGTAACGTCATTTTGGTCCCCAACTGAACCAACTCTACCAGACTACCACATCTGGAAACAACTAAAGTTGATCTCAAATGGCAGTAAACATTTCTTCCACTCTTAATTCATTGTTGGATCCTTCAAGGTTTGATTTCCTAAAAATACTGTAATGACCAAACCACAAATGAAAATGTAGATACTCATGTTGAAGCGCCAATGAGTTTTGAGCCATTTATGACAAATTAAAAAGCTGTTTTTAAGAAGCAAGAACAACATAGAAAAACTACAAACAGAGAAAACATAAACACAGAGTCTCTACTTGTTTATCATATTTTCCAACAAACAGCAGGTTGTGTGGCTCTGGTGTTCAGTCCCAGACCTAAAGGGACTGATCCATGGCCTCCAGAGCAGCGAGCGAGCTGACAAAGGCTTCGTAGTGCTGCGGGTAGCAGCGTTTATACTCGTTGATTTTTCTCTTGATCTGTTTGGGTGTGTCCTGGTAGTAGTTCTTCTCATCTCGAGCCATCGCCTGCAGGAGCGACACAAAGAGGGATGATGAAGAAGGAAGTTTTTAGAAACAGCCTGGACAAACGCAAAACAGAGATTTGGAATGAGAATTTGATTTAACAAAGGTTAAAAGAAAACCAGATTACCTGGTTATATATTCTAGCTCCATTCCAGACAAAGACCGTATTAATACATTTCTTTAAAAAGAACCTGACAGACAACATAGAGCAGGGTGACAGTAGTAGTAAGGTCTGTACAAAAGTGAAAGTATTCATGTAGTATTAGGGGCCAATTCTTGTCTAAACATTTAAATGCGACAGAAAATCATTAAGGGGGTCAAATGGTTTTCACAGCACAATGCAACAGCTTCCTCCTCATTACGAGTTCTTAATTCAAACTCCGATGTTTAGATTTAGTTATTTTATCGTCATCACACAAAAACAGGACTGCCAATTTGTCAATGACATGTTGGTTGGCAGCTGGAATACACAGAAAAAAATACTGAAAAAATGTTAATACATTCACATTTAAAAAACACATTTTACAACATTACATTTATATAATGTAATGTTTATATAATATATATATATATACAAAACTTAGCATTTTTAGACTGTATGAATCTGGAGGATTTTTTTTTACTCTGAAATACAACAACTTATCAATACACTAAGACAAAATTGTTCTCTTTTGCTCATTATTGGGAGCTGATCTGTATAGTTTTTGAACTATAAAATGTTTTGTTTTTCTCAGAAAAAAAACAAAAACATTTTGTTTCTGCCCAGATTAGAGTCAGACGGTCAGTTTGCCTTCAACAAACCTTGAAGGACTCCAAGACGTTCAGATTTTAAAGTGTAAATAAACACTCCAAACTAAACTTATTTTTGCCAATTAACGGTCTCAAAGGGTCGTGTAGGGTTCTACATGTTTTTGTACAAATTTTGACATTTTTGTGTCAATTTGTTCAGTTTGACATCAAAAGTCTCCAGTAACACAAAAAACTGATGTCATTAGTTTTTCTTTTTAATATATAGTTGCTGAAAGGTATGAAAAGTCAAATAAAATGACCAAGTGGAAAAGTTGGCAGCAGTGCCTCTTTATTCCTGACCACAGCCCCACTCGGCAGTCATATTTTGAAGATAAACCAACAACCAAGAAGATCAGATAAATCTGACTTTCGTTCTTGAACTTAGCTCTTACTTCAAATCTCATCATAGAAACAAACTCTACATCTTGTGGCACCATTTAAAGCCTCAAAATATAAAAGTGTGTTTTTCAGCTTGTTTTAATCAGAGACACTTTTTGTCGCAAGGCACAATCAGCCACAGCTCTTCAGGATTCAGAGTCAAGGATGAAAATTTTTCTGTGAAAAGACTTCAATACTGGAGACTATACTAGGTATAAAACTAGTTCTGGACCCCAAATTGTTTATTCTAGGTTTATATCCAGACAGACATCATATGTCCAGAAAGACTACTATTGCCATGGACTTATGGCAATAGTTTTATCATGGAAGAGTAACACTAAACCAACACTCATTAACTGGATTAAAGAATTATCCACAACATTACCGATGGAAAAGATTGCTTTTTTTTATAAAAGGGAAACTCTTGTTATTTCAAGACATTTGGGGTCCTGTTTTGGAATGGATAGAAAAAAATGGATGTGGAGGGTGCTGAATTATAGTTGTGGTCGCTCCCCTGCAGTGCTCCAAGATAATCCATTACTTAGGATTGTATATTTGAATCACATATAATGCTGAAATATATGGGCTAATCCTTGTGATTGTTATTATTGTAATTATTTCTTATTTCTAGGGGGTTTAGGATCGGGAGCATGACATTTTTTTTTTGTTTGTTCTTTCAGTTCTTTGTTTGTTTTTTTGTTTAACGGGTATGCAATAAGAGTTGCTCTTAAATGTCCCAACCTGGTTTATGAAGAATGACAAGTTGGGTGTTGGACAAAAAAAAAAAAAAAAGTAATTATTCTGGATGTTTTTTGATGTGAGAGCACATTTAAGTCCTGTTTATTAAGAAAAAATGTTGAAAAAAAAACCCCAATATGTTTCATGCCTCCATTGTCGAGGCGGCTTATTAGAGCCGTGGTCGCAAGGTTGTCGGTGCCTGTCGTGGTGGCAACCCTGGAACCCATTGATGGACGGATGGATGGCTGAATGGATGGCCATTGGTTATGAAACATCTTTAGTCTCACACAGCAATGGCTCCACACAATAGATAAAATCCTGAACACAAAATAGATAAAATTCTGAAGTTTATGAGCAGTTGGACTCAAATTTGTAATCGCAAAAATATGAAACAACAAAATATGACTGTCGTTTATCGCTGTTTGTGGATGTTGCTTATGTGTCACATTTATGGAAAAGAACAGAAGAGGGTTGAGTGAAGACAAGCCTTTGGGCCACTGGATGTCAAAATTGGGGATCAGGGGCCATTTTCAGCCCTCTGCAGGATTTGGCTTGCCTCCTCAGTATGCAAGAATAGCAAGAGATTTTTAACAACCAAAGATAATCGTAAACATATTTTTAAGTACTTATAGCATTGACTATGTCTCTGCTTTCATTGAAT